ATCAGCCATCCACCCCCCCATAAAAAAGGATAATGCGGTTTAATTTGCTGACATCATAACAATACAGTGGTTGAGAGCTATCAGAGAGTATATTGTTACCCAGACAAGTAGTGTTTCTGACTATTGTAATCTTCTATAAATTTCAAATACTAAGGAATCTTTTATGTGCACTACCAATTACTAAAATTAGTAAATTAATAGACATTGATTAAAATTTGCCAGACATTTTATAATACCAATATCTGATCAACATCCCAATACATGTTGATTTCACAAGTGAATGTGTAGAAGGTTTTAGGGCTGATGAATATATTATAAATTAAAGCTACAAGGTGCCAAGGGACCAATACAACTAAGAACTGAGAAGTTTCTGTTAAATAGCAATTTACATACACATAAAACAAAAAGCTATGTTATTGACTGATGCTATTTGGAGTTCAATGTACATGGAAAGAAATAAGTTCTCCAATGTGAATTCTAGACGGCCACCATAATTCAGAATTATTTGACTAATAATTTGATTTCTGGTAAGACTACATTAATCAGTGATCAGTAAAAAAAAATTATAATTCTACACAACCATAGTAATGTAAATTAAAACAATGTAAGAGCTAAATTTCTGGCTTCAAATGTTATATAAATTATTATTTAGACATTTATTTACATGACAAGCCCATTAATGGCATTATCAACTATCTAGATCATCTGATGACAAGAGATATTAATGGATTAGATCACCCGAGCCATAAAGTTGGACAATGGAGACTTTGTTTATGGTCGTAGCAATGGTACTTCACGATCAAGACAGTTTAGGCTAATTCTTGTCAAACTTCAAACATTCGTCATTTTGCTCATAATAGAGTAATTTGATTGAAATTTCAAGAACGACCAGCTCTTTATTCAAATTTTACATAATGCATCTTTAAAAGAAATGAAATTGGGGTTTAATGTCTATATTCTGCACTGACTGGGCTAATATAAAGACTGGTATATACCACACATTGTGCTATGAGGGAAATTGTGCCTGGACAGTGGCATTATGGCCTATTCTTATAATGAATTCCAACTGTCAAAGGCTTTTATGTGCACGCCAATGTGTACACAGGACCTAGTTTTTTTCATACCATCCAAATGACTATACATTCTCTCTTACCAGGCCCTCTGTCCTGCATCACTGACAAGGGAGACATCTTTAAAACTTAAAAGACATGCAATTCTATAACAACAAAACAATTTCAACCAACTATACTTTGTTCCTTCCTGCACCACTGACAAAGGGAACATCTCTAAAAGACATGCAATTCTATAATAACAAATTAATTTCAACCCACTAGGGAGGTTGCTGATGAATACGTAAATTAATATTGATTCCTCTTGTGATTAATCAACGATCTGTGGTAAGAGAAACCATGATGAATACAATTAATCAGCACAATCATCATTTACTGTAAATATTGATAATTGGCTTGTAATTAAACTGACCCCTCCCTCAGGATCATTATAGCCATAGACATGATCTTTGTATGCTGCACTTTGTAAACTAATGATGAATATTGCAGCCTAAAACTGTAATGTGATCTATAGCAATATTTTTAATAGTTTTATTGCAATCCCTAAATATTATTATACATTTAACCCGGGTATCATTTAATCTTGAGTATCTAGCACTAATTTCTTTCGCATTCGTTTAATATCAAATCTTCGTTTAAAAACTCGTAAAAATCATTCAAAATCACCCAAAATCATTTAATTTGTACTTGTGTTCAGTTTAAAGCTGACTGATAAATTTTGATAATGAGTGTCCAATTTACAAGTGTTGAATTTCTCAATCACTATTCAAAAATTAATCATTATACATCAATAATCAATTGGGTTGTTTATTGAGAAATTAAACACTTGTAAATTGGACACTCATTATCAAAATTGAAAGATCAGCTTTAAGCTGGACACAGTACAAATTAGATGATTTTAAACGATTTTTACAAATTTTTAAACAAAGATTTGATATTGAATGAATGTGAAAGAAATTAATGCTAAATACACAAGATTAAATGATACCTGGGTTACAGTGTAAATTGTGCAATATTTTGTATCTTAAAAAATGTGCATTTCTTTATGTCTACTCTCTCCATCGGTTTCTGATCCAGCAGTTACACATAATTGGTTTGTCTAATCTTTGTGACTCTTTTTTAAGGAAGGGTTGCCAATGTCCCTGTAAGTGAAGCAATATTTGGCATAACTTTACGACCAGTAAATATAATTTATATAACTAAATTGGATCCATAGTCCAATTAAAAGATATCTATATGGAGCTATTCTACAAGTTTTTACACTGGTTTTGCTACCTGCATAAACTTCTCCAAAGCATCTGAAGTGGTATCAGGTGTCCTGATTGCCAATTACTAGAACCAATGATTGATGAGTGTTCAAATGTTTTTCATTTCTATAGAGTTAAGACCTAATTAACACTCAAGAATAGTGTCTTATTTTGCAATAAAACATTCCCATTTAAAAAAGATCAGGATATTTGGATAATAATAATAATGAATGTTTTTTATTCCATTAGAATTTTAACTGAACATTGGAGATTATGACTCCTAATTGTCTGATGTTTAGGAATTAAAACTCATTACATTTCAAATAAAGATGACAATAGATAGCCATAAAATCGCCTCAATTTAAAATAGTTCATATGCATATCTTTTATAGATCTAGAGTTTCAAGACCATTCTTTAACAACTGTTACATATGCAGATTTATTCAAAGTCATGTTTCCATGAAGATTCTATCATCTTTATCATGCATATGATTACTAAGATTGTTGCTTGTCATCCACTAAATGACACTTACAGAATGTACTAATAGAGTATTAACGGAACAGGGGAGGTAAAATAGACATTATTTAGAATGATGACTGATGTCTAAGAGATTTTACGCAAAGTAACAAAAACTACTAATATTAGTAACAGACAAACTGGACTATGAAAACAGAAACTAAAAGGACCACGCTTTATTTGAATATCTACTTAGGCTGTATTCAACAAATGGAGAGTAATGTATTAGCGATTTAATGTTAAATTAATGGCGATTTATGGTAAAGTAGCGGAAAGTATGAGAGTATTATATGTTTATAAGGGAATGTAATTAGTGTAGTGAATAAAGACAGAATTAGTACTAGAGAGTGGATGATGATAAGATCTTGCAGACACAGAATAATCAATACTTAATTCTACTTCTAATATGGCATTAACACTTCACAGTCTCTTTATATATACAACTATTAACTACCTATGGTAGTTAATTGCATTCCAAACAAATATTTAGCATTTAAAATCATTACATACATTGGCGCTTCAGTATAATGTTGGGGGTTTACCTATCTACTTGAGTTGCCATATTTTAACTTTAATCCTCATAATCATATTAAAGATACATTATGGGAAATTAGATAAAGAGCTGGAAGTTCTCACTATAATAGTTAAAAATAAAAACTAGATAATGTAAAGGGAATTTGCTGAAAATTTCAGTCAAATTGATCCACCCTAAACCGAGTATTTAGCAATTCAATTTTGGGCCTAGCCTCGATCATCATTACTAAAGTCCGTAGGATAAAAAACATTTCTGCCATTTCTCCTTTAAAGTTATAATGAATCTGGATCTGTACTAATAATTTCCCTCTGACGTGGTTTCCCCTTGTCAGTGGTACAGAACGGAGGGCCTGACAAGGACAGCTGTCTAGTCCTTTGGATGAGACGAAAAACCAAGGTCCTGTGTATACATTGGAATGCACATAAAAGATGCCTTGGCAGTTGGAATTCGATATAAGAGTAGGCGATAGTGCCGCTGCCCGGGCAAAATTTCCCTCATCGCACACTGTATGGCGTATGCCCATCTTCATTAGCCCAGTATAGGAGCAGAACAGTAGGACATTAAACCCCATTTCATTTCATTTCATTTCATTTGAATAATTCCCAATGACTGGCAAAAAACAAAAACCTTGATTGCTACAATCTTTGAATTCCTGACAGTGAATAAAATCAAGGTATGAATTAATAAAACCATGAGCATCTAGGGCCTACAATTTCTGACAGAGAATACAGACATGATATAAATTAATGCTGTATTGGTACAAGTGGAGATGAAATCACATCAATGATGGGATCTAAAAATATCAGAACTTGTTGGCCTGAGGATCAGAGAGGATGAAAAATCTATAATAAATTCACTAGAGTATTAACTTTATACCCATGAATGATTCCACAACTGATTCAATTTTACCGGTACTCTCACTTATATCCTATTCCAGCGAACCCGGATATTCATTTTTCCACTATTTACGAAAACTAGTTTTTGATATTCAGATTTGTAAATAAAAAGAATAGAGATTGCATTTCTGACTACTCTTTTTTATAATTGTCAAGTGTAGCCTATTTTTTACTTGCACATCAAAGACAATGTGGGCACAGGAGGAATTCAGCTTTTTGTCCCATTCATCCAGTAAGGATTTAGCCAAGGTAAAAATTGTTACCAAGATGAGAATGAATGTAAAATTACATATATTGGTATTTCTTGTGTCATTTGCTTCATATCATTTATTTTCAGTTTATTTACAGAAAATGTATTGTGTCTGGATTTTGACAATAGCTTCTATCCATGTCAAAATGGACATTTAATGCAATTATATATATCATTTGGTCTTTTGTTCTGATCTAACCATATTTGTAGTGTCTATCTTAGATAAGCAGTATACTGTATTTTATCTTGGGATATTGCCAATACTGTAGTTTCTGTTGATAAATATCTGTGTCGAGATAGATATTCAATTTGAACTGAATAATGAATGCTGTGTGCAGTTATCTCTTTTGCCTGAAGTCACTGATGATACTGAATGTAATCCAAAATCTCAGAAAGGTTGATCTGTACACAGTTATATAATATTGAACTATATACCGAACAATTTAAATTTTCCTGTAATTTTTTATTTCTTTCTTTCTTTTCAGATTCAGATTGTGAATTATTATATCATCCTTTACATGAGAACAAGACAAACCAACTGTCAAGTAAATAAGTAAAAATACTAACTTACATCTGAAAGTCCCAGGTTTTAGCAGATAGAAGACCAGAATACAAACTTTATACTTTTTCGTACACAAGGACCACCAATTCATGTGACAGTATTTTATAGTGTATCGACAAAAAAACCAAATCAACTAAAAATCAACCAGAATCCACTAGGGTTTTCTGAAGACTATTTGTGGATTTACTGACCTTCTTCTCAAACTCTGTATCAAACTGGAGCTTTACGTAAACTCTGCCGAAATGACTCGACAATATTTTGAGTTATATCCCCTGAATTTCTTCCCGTTTCTGGTTCCACCATTAAAAAACTGTTTAACTCCGCATCCAGCATGTGACATCGGACTGGATCATTCAAACACCACTGCTTACTGGATGGAAATAAGTGACTACTTTTGTTTCCTTGCTCTTCCAGTCATCCTGGTTTTCGCTCTTGTAACAGAGATTATTTGTGTGATTGTCTTAGCAAGACAGATTCGGATGTCATTAGATACATATTTATTAGGCTTATCGATATCTATCATTTTATTAATCACAACAACCGTAATACTTGGATTACAGCATTATATTGGGCGTAATGATATCATCGTTTATATGCAGGGTTACGCAATAAGTTGTCGTGATTGGTTCTGGTATACTTCAATTTGGCTGGTTGTTATGATGAGTTTTGAACGCGCTTTAACTGTGTCTTCTTCGACAACAACCGTTCTTTGTACAAGTGCACAAGCTGGCGTTGTCGTGGTGATGGTATTTTGTGTTGGCTTAGTCAGTGCCTTGCCACGATTCTGGGAATATCAGCCATTTGAGGAATTCTATGTGGCTACAAACCAAACTGTTTTATTATCTAAAAAAACAGCATCCACCATGACAGTTGAATATAACACAATGTACTTCTGGTATGTGAAAATAGTCACATTGTTTTTACCTTTTGTAATGTTTCTCGCAATTTCTATCACGCTGAGTTGCAAAACGAGACAATCGACCCTCTCTAAACGTTACGCTACTGTCAAACACACCAACGCCTTAACATTAAATCGGAAAATAAAAGAGGAAGTAACTCTGTCTAAACTGTTGATACTATTAATAGTAACTTATGTAATATTCAGTACACCGCTATGTTTATTAGATCTACTGTCATACATGACACCACATTGGATCAGTCCAACAAGTCGAATGTTTGCTAGTTTATATAATCTGTTCACTGTGTTGTTTTTTCTACAATACGCCTTACAACTGATTATATATTTCTGTTACAACAAACAATTCAGATTAACTTTATTAGGTTTATGTTGCTGCTGTTGTTAGGGTGCTCGCTCAAAAGACAAAGCATAACAAAATACAGACAGAACAAACATACAGACAGATGTAACAAAATTACAAACGAGTGTAAAACGTGTCATCGCGAATTAAAAAAAAGAAGAAAGTGGTCAGAAAACATCCATACCACAGATAATCCCTGTGGAAAGTTGAGTAAGATGTTCGAGAAAGAGCAATAATTTGTACAGGAAATACGAATACATTCCAAGTTGAATCGGACAAATCGGATGAGGAATCTAGACAAGAGAAGCCTGCTTGTAGTGAAAACAGATTGTAATCTTTCACCATATAAAATCTGATGAAACACATAAAATCCAATGAAATCAACTACTTTAATTTTTACCCAAATCAAAGTGGTCTAGCTTGCCATCTTAACAGCATTAATGTACAGTCAAATGGCTTTTTTTACCATAGGTCAAACTATAGAGTTAAAGTTTTCAAATGATCAGAATACAGTGCTCACACATTTCAAGTTCAAGTTCACATAGTTTTTTAAAGTTATTCGAACTGATTTTTTAGTTTGTTATTACTAATGAAATTTTATCAGTCCTTTGGTATCACCTATGAAATATTTAATAATAGTATTAATTTAAACGAAATGAACTAATAATATTGAAAAATAAACAGATAATGGAAAATATATTCATTTGAACGAATTACAATTTTCTAGTTTCGTGAAAATACCCTGTCCACAAATTTATCTGCTGAACTGAATCGATCAATGGAACAATGACTTAATATTTGAACAGTAAAATTAGCAGTCGATGCGACCACGAGAACAGACTGAGGAAATATTCAAAGTGCAGTGATTGTGAATGCACAGAAAAGCAATATGACAATTGAGCGGAAGGGTTAAAAGAGTCTACCAACATTGCATTCCATTGCATTGGTTTAAAGACATTTCTTATAAAGTATGTTCAGTAATGAGCAGATTGTGATTGGGCAACTGGACTCAACCTATCAATGAAAAATGACACTGAAAATTATGTAAAATCTTTTGAAAATCTTTTGATTAACGGAACATTCAATTGGCTTTCGAATTAAAGACATTGCTATGATTTTGTCACATGTCGAGAAGGTGCTTTTCTTAAAAATGTCTTTTGACATTATAATGAAATGACCAACTGAATACATGGGATAAAATTAACATCTAGTCTTAATTAGATGTGGATATAAGCAAGCTACAGTATGTGTTGTTTGTGTATTGTTCTGATGCATTGTACCAATCTGTGTCCATGATGATAGACCAGTATCTCAAGTTTACTAATTCCTAAAAAAATAAGAGAATTTGGGAATTCACAAATGTTTTGTGAGGTTCTAAATAAAATAAAAATAAACTAAAGTAAAAAAGGCATTTTACACTCTGGTTGCCTTGGGTATATGTATATCATATATTTTTTGTGATTTACTTCAATAGAAAAAAAACAACCCAAACACCTATTTTGAATCTAGCATAGACATGCTGGATTGACATTTGGAAACGCCAAGCTGAGTGAGTACATCTTGATAATGTATATGACATGTAGATGATATTAATTTCAAACTTTTGAATTTTCTGTTTTCTGGGATTTTGAAATACACTACAGGTTACATTTACCTGTAAATATTGAATTTTCAACATTCCAGTGATTTAAATTGTAAGCTTGTGCCTGTCTTTCATTTAAAGTAGCAATATTGTTTTAAATTTATAAAAACTAACCATGTCCAGTTTAACCATGTTATATTACGATTATCTACAAACTTGATGAAACTGACAAACATCCACATTTCTCAAATACAATGTTTGAAAAATCTAATAATTCCTAAATTGGTATGTTATCAAAATAACTTATGTTTACAGTAAATGATACTATCGAGTAATACATAATAGATATTATTCAAGAATAAAATATACATAATTGACAATTAGCAGGATTAAAGCCTGATTAATGACAATAAATTATTCTGGCTTGCATAGATGTATTGCTGCCTTAATTAACTAGGTAAAGCCCCAACTATAGATATCAGGTTTAAGACATACACACTCAAAATCTATCAATTCTAACTTTAAGTTATGTCCATCTAAAGCATACATTGATTCGTACTGCTTTCATATTATCATCTTTATCTTTATGTGTCTTAGACTTAGACAAACATAGTAATAATAATGTTTCTTTTTTTGTACACGGTACAAACAGGCTTATTCTTCTTGGATATGTTTAATTACGTAATAATAACCGTTTTAACATTAAAAAAATAGTATATTTTTGACTTTCAATGTGTGAACGATCTGGCTTGATGTATGTTTAAGTGATAGGATTAGAATCATGTGTAAATAGTTATTGTATACTAATCTATTGCCATTATAAGCAGATCTGTAGAAGAAGAAGGATTTATATGATCATATAGCTCTTTACTAAAATGTAATATTACCATATAATAGAATCTTCCCTTCTCAAGTCAGTTTTTTATATTCTTTACACCTTATCTTTGATATGTTAAATCAAATAATTGGACAAGAACCAATGAAATATTGATTAACTAAAGATTATTTTTGTATATCATTTTCATTTTGGCATTTTCAGAAAAAAAACCAGTCTGATTTTCCTAATAATCTGTCCTGATATTCATCACATGTAGGAAAGATGACAACTAAGTAAAGTATTACAGAACCATTGTACTATAAATACCTTTTAGTTGAGATCTAAATACTGGTAGATTGTGTGTTTTAAATAGTTTGGCAGGTGTAATGTATAAGGCACAGTATGCTTACTCTTCTGTAACATCCAATACTACTTTGGTTTTAGGGTAGTTTGGTATAGTTCTATTAGGAATCCCACATATTGTCCAATCTGATTAAAATACAAATACAGATCTATATTTCGTTTCGTTTTTTTTTATACTTTCGATGGCCTACACTACATGGAGATCTGACCAGTTGTACTGGGAGGTCGCGTCAGGGGTCATACAAGCAGCTTTTGCTCAAAGTATGTATGTATTTGATTAGGAGGATCTGTTACCAACTGTAATTGAATTATAAGTTAATTTCAGACAATCTTGGAATATTTATCAAATATTCTTTTTATCCATACATTTATGTCTATCAAATAGATTTTCTGTTTTCGCAAGGAATGGAGCTAAATTCTGTAACTAGAAAATAATCTCTAATCAAATCTGACCTTTCACAATACAAAAGTATCCTAAAGAACTTCATAAGAACGGTCAATTACGTCTGCTCTGCTAGTGTATAAATAGATGATAAGACCACAGAACCAAAATACTGTTATTATAAAAGCTGTCGGCAATTATTGCTAAAAGGGGAAAAACAAAATAATGAAATGGACAGTGAATATTCTATGGAACAAAATAACTTTAGTATTCTATCTATAGTGCTACACAAATGTCTGTCATTTGTTACCAATAATGGTAGAGTGGTAGAGAATGTACGTCTGGAAAGGAGAAAGTCAATTTCTTAATAGAATCCCTGCCCTAATTAAACAGTAGCCTATACCAAGTCGCTTCAATTTAGTATGTTATACCTCTAGGCAGCCATTTTCAGTAATTACATTCCGTTCTTTATCATATTGTTTAATATTTCATAATCTGCATATACATGTAACTGCTTTTTAATTTGTAAGTTTCACATGATTTTTTATATACAATATGTAAATGTTTGGAATGGAATAAATGTAATTCTTCAATTCATTATTAACATTATATTTCACTATGAATTTTACGTGATTAATGACACATCAGTTAGCAAGCTAGATCAGTGATGGAAGAAAACAGCAGAGCAGTTTGCAAGCTAGATCTGTGATGGAAGAAAACAGCAGAGCAGTTTGCAAGCTAGATCTGTGATGGAGAGAAACAGCAGAGCAGTGAGCTAGATAGATATGTAATAAAGGGAAACAGCATAGCAGTTGGCAAGCTAGATCTGTTAAGGGGGGGGGGGGAGAGGGGGAAGTAGCACAACAGTAATCACGCTTTGATCTGTTAGCATTTAGCAAGCTAGATCTGTGATGGATTAAACAGCAAAGCAGTTAGCAAGCTAGACCTGTGAGGTAGGTAAACAATTAATTCAGAGTGATGAAGTGTTTATGAAAACAGTGCCATTTAATTAATCCATTACATTACTAACATTCTACAAACTATTTATATGTAAATATACATATATGTAAATAAAAGTCAACAATATTAAACTAATCACCATCACTACTCTAATCATGTGGGGTTTAAGGTCAATGCAGGGTGATATCTCACACTGGTCAATTATAATTAACATCATGAGTCATGACAGTCTTTGATATATTAACAATATAATTGACGTGACATTTCTACAACAACCAATCATATTGCATTATACAGTAAATCATCTCATTTGGAAACTCATGCTTGCAAAGACAAACACTGCAAGGCAAACTCTCTGTTGAACACTGAGCTGATGTACGTAGATAACAAAGCCAATCAAAGCCACTGTCTGATAATTCAATGTTTTTCTTTTGATTTTTACAACTTGTCTCCTCCCCCCACCACCTGCCTTATTTCTCTTCTGGTTTACATCAATTATCTCCCTTTAATCTTCAAATTCAAAGTCATTATCCAGCTTTGATTTTACCCGTTTAACTTCCAAGATTTACCAAAATAATTATAGAACTTTAATCTTCAAACGAACTTAGTTGTTACCAGTTAGTTTAACTTACATAAATTATTTCCCTTTAGTCTTCAGTAATCCAACTTTGATTTTAACTTCAAGATTTACTAAGAAAATTATAGCCCTTCAATCTTCAAATTAACATAGATTTTACCAGCTTACATAAATTATCTCCCTTTAGTCTTCAGATTCAAGGTAGTAATCTAATTTAGATTTTACATGAACTTCAAGATTTACTAAGATAATTATAGAACTTTAATTCTCATATTTACTTAGATTTTACGAGCTTAACTTACATAAATTATCTCCCTTTAGTCTTCACATTCAAGTAGTAATTCAACATTCAAGTAGTAATTCAACTTAGATTTTACTTGCTTGACGAAGATGACAAAACCCTCGTCGGAATGTTACCGGAAATAAACTTCTAAGTAACTTGTATTCCATTTAATTATGTCATGTGTTATTCTCTTTCAGTTACTAAATGCTGCTTAAACAATAGATTTTACCAGTTTAACTCCCAGATTGACTTAGATTATATCGCTTTAATCTTCAAATTTAAGAAAATTGTCTACTACCCCCCCCCCTCCCTTTAGTCTTCAAACTCTACTTTTTCTTGTTCCCTAATTTACTCATCTATTTCTAGACCTAAAATAGCAAACATACTCACAATAATTCTTTGACAAAGTTTTCTCCAATATTCATTTAAATCTGTGTCAGATATGCATTAAAAATACCAATTAAACACATAGATGAGGAAAATAACAATGACAGTTACCAGAGTAAGTGTGCCTAACAAAGCATAAAATTTGGGAGCAACAATATCAGTGGAGTTGTGTGGACAGATCTATTAGAAGAGGGATCAACTCACCTTTAAATGGATTAACTACAGGTGTAAAGAAATAAGTCCTGGAACAAACTAGTGGACTATTGGGTGAAACCGCCTGACAAATCTATAAAAATAAACACAGACACACATATTTTATATACCGGTATTACTTGATATGACATTATTTTGACTCCATATCAGTATTGTTATTAGACAATACAAACAATGCACCACCATTCTGTTGAAAACTGTATCCTGTATATCATTTCACAAGATTTAATAAATTGTACAAAACCGTGATCTGTGATTGAATTGATTCCTCTTTAGGAATCAAACAACAATCCTATACCGTTTAAATTTGGGAACTTTATTCTGTTATAGGTTTAGTATCTTTTGCAATAGAACTTAAAAAGATTGTTCAAGCACATCAGGTATTACTATGCAATGCACGTTCATTGTACTTAGTTTCCTGTTTATTCTACTACAGCAAACAAAAAATAAAAATCTTTATTTTGCCATAGCTGACCTGATTTACGTCATCTTTTACCATGGCTTTTGCTGTATGTCGTAGTGGGAGTAAGGCGCTGGTTTGCAAGCTAAGAGGTCTAAGGTTCGTTCCCAGTGTAGACTGAGAATTTCTCAGGATTTTCCACTACAGTGATGCAGGATGGAGAGTCTGGCAAGGAACAGTGTCTAGTTGTTTGGATGGGATGAAAAATCAAGTCCCCTTCCACACACACAAATGGAAGAACCCGACAGTCGGAATTCAAAATAAGAAGAGGTTGTAATGCTATTGTCAGACCAATATTTACCTCATTGTACACTTCATGGCAGAAGTTAGTGAATATACATTCATGGCAGATATACTACAGTCAGAAGTGATAATTATTATTATTATGTGTAGTTTAATGGTTGAGTACGAGACATTAAGTAATATATTGATACTGCCCGAGTGCGTTTAGCACGAGGGCTATATCTATTTTACGCAATTTCTTGTACGAGACGATTAAACAACTTAAAATACAGACACTATCCAGCACGTGCATTTGAATGAAATACGTCACAAGGGTCCAAAATTTCAACTAATATTTATAATAATTTATGCCTGGCACATTGCCCGTACCATTATGTGAAATAATGGTACGCCAACATCAAAGGATGACGTCACATCTGTATTTCAAGTACTTATATAACACATCTTTCACCCCAGAAAGTGCCCAGATGCACTTTAAAAACAGTATACAATGAATGTGCATAACATAGCAACATGTATATATAACAATAATGATCAAATAACATAAAATTAGGTAAAAGCTTGAGTGAATAGATACATCTTGAAATTTGACTTAAAAACAGAAACTGACGTCTAATATTAAGAGATAGTTTGTTCCAGAGCTGCAGTGCTCGTACAGCAAATGCACATTCATCATATTTAGACTAAGTCTTTCGTAGATTAGCAGTAGACTATCACTACAGGATTATTCGTAAGTGACGATAAGGAATATATACATCAAATAACTCTGATAGATAAGGTGGAGCAAGATTTTTAAAACATTTAAAAGTTAGTAATAAAATATTACCAGCGGCTGCCAGGCAAGATACATCCACATTTTGCAAGAGATGGATAGAGAACAAGCTAAACAAATAGCCATAATTCAGGAAATTACGATCCGATATGCGCGAATATGGACAGGAACCAAGATCAAGTTTCATCAAAATCGGATCAAAATTGTGACTTCTAGAGGGTCCACAACCTTGATATACCATATATTTACACTATTTGCGTACAAGGGGTGGCCATTTTGTCCGGCAGTTTTGGTCTGATTTTCACGAAATTTGAACTCAGCCATCATTAGGTTGTAACGGTGATATATTTAAAGTTTTTTTTAAATTGGATAAAAATTGTTACCTCTAGAGGGACAATAATTCAGGAAGTTACGATCCGATATGCACAAATATCGAAAGGAACCAAGATCTTTGGGTTATAAACATGTATTTCAAGTTTCATCAAAATGAGATGAAAATTGTGACCTGTAGATTGTCCATAATCCATGAAGTTATGGTCCGATATATGCCAATATAGAAAAGAACCGAGATCTTTGGGAGATAGACCTATATTTTAAGTTTCGTCAAATCGAATAAAAATTGTGACCTGTAAAGTATCCAGAAACAAATTGTGGGCGAACGAACAGACGGACAGCAATAAGCAATGATGACGGTAAGAGTAAGACGTTCGATTATCTACTAAAAGGTTACCATATGATGAGGTAGATTATTTTTGATTCCACTGGTTGATATATCCTCATATCTATCCATCAATTCATGTGATACTCTCTCTATTTCACTTTGACTAGCATGTCTACCATACAGAACATAGGGACATCTACAACAACACAGTATATTATAAACACTTGATCACAATACAATATATAATACTATCATTTCTTGAAAAGACATTAAGACCACTTATGCCAAACTTTATATTTTTGAAAGACAAATTAATTGTAATGAAAAAGTATATATTCAATTGTGAGCAGCTTAACACTTTCACTGCTAAATACGAAGATCTACGTTTCAACTTCATGTTTTTCATGAGGTAAAGTATAAAGATTTGTTTGGCACATATACAATCTTTTAACATATATTATGCAAGAGCAACATCTGCCTATTACAGGTCTTTCTTTAGGTCTGAAAATTAATTAGACATTAATTAACTTATCCAGACCATAAGTGGAGCAATTTGACTAAAATTTTCAGCATGTTCTATTTACATTATCTACTTTTTAACTATTATAGCGAGAACTATCAACTCTTTATCTTATCTCCCATAATGCCCCTTTAAATAAGGAAATTAACATGGGGGATACCCTTGTAACTATGATATTGAGAGTCAGTTGTTATATCTCTCTCCACACATCATGATAGTATAGTATTTTCTAAAATTAGTATTAAAGCAATATAAAAGTATCATTGTTTACATTCGATACCCAAATGGCAGCACCCATGAAGAGAAATATTTACTGGTCAACAAATGGGATTTGAGGCAAATATGTTTTCCCGAGAATGACTCAGAAAAAGATAAATTTAGTAGTAGGTGAAAGGGGTGACGCAAATGGATCTTGTTTGAGCTGTCTGCTACAAGCTGGTCATTTATTATTGTTACAAATGATGAATGAGTACTAAAAATGTAAATATTACCAATAATAGACGAATTCAAGAAGATCATTGATCATAAAATGAAATGTACACATTAAATGATAATAAAATACCAAATAAACATCTTTATCAAATGTTAGTATTTAACCTAAAAATGGCCAGCAGGGTATGTGATCCAGTTTAAGCCCAGCAGTAAAAGTAACATACCTGGTTTTGTTTTTATCTACACCTGGTGAAACAATTCGTCCGTGTTTATAATAACTAAACAATGGCTACAACAAACAAATTACTATGTTTATTACAACACATTTCAAAACACTTTTTGAATATAAAAGGAAGGTAATGGGGGGGGGGGGGGGAGGGAGGGTCAACAAAGCGAGGTCATTTTGTGACTAGAGAGAGAGAGAGAAATGGGGTTTAACATCCACTCGACACAAACTAGGTCATTTCGGGACTAACATATGGTTTAATTTTATTTCAATAATTCGCTTGTGCATAGGGGTCTTTAGCAGTGGGAGAAAACCGGAGGACCCGGAGAAAACACACGAGGTTGGACAGGCGACCATACTCCGTGTCATGTACAACCAGGGATTCGAAACCACGCCAGTCGACTCAATGATTTTGTGACTAACATAAGGTAATTCATTATTTTGCTTATGTACATGGTTACAGGGTTCCTGTGCAGCAACGAGAAAATCAAAGCTATGAGGTAATGGAGGTGTTCCTACTACTTGCCAAAAATACGAAAGTGAAGGAAATATAATTTTGAGATATCTTTTTACTAAATTGTACAATGTACTCTTATTTTAAATCAAACCATTTGAATTGTTTCAGAATCAGTAATAAGCAAATCTATTCCATAGGATATTCATTGAATCTCCTTGTTTGCCAGTTGCTTGTCAAGTGATGTTTATGGTTAATTCTAATAAAATATATTAAAACATCAAACTTACCTCAGCTACATTTTCTTCTGTTAATTTCTCCATTTTATTGGATCTATAAATCAAGTAAACATCGTCAATATTTTAGGCCAAATTAAAAAAAATCAGTATGCTTCTCAGTCACCGTCGACCACTCATAAATAAGGTTGCATTGTCCATTTTATCAATGTTATAGAAAAAAAGTACTGCACATCAATTTTGACATCTCAAAGGAGATAACTCCATTTTTTAAAATTAAAAATTGATTGATACCGAGTACTATTCTAATTTAGCCCTCAATGGAATCTGAATTGTCCTGAACTGTTTTTAATGTGTATTTGAGTCCTATAAATATGTAAAACACTGAATCAACGTACAGTTGTAAAAACAAAATACCATGGTAAAATATTATTTTGCAAGAAAAATAAAAATTCCTCCCTTCCCTAATTTGCCATATTTCAAAAGTCAATTGTCTGAGAAACATATAACTTTATTTAGGTGACCTTATATCTAATACCTTCCCTCTAATAGCCAGTAAGATGAATCATATTATGTACCACTATAACAATGTAACCTTTTAGTAAAGCTGTTTGCTCAGAACACCTTATTCAATAAGGAATTCAATTTCAGTCAATTTCAATTCCAGTCAGTAATACAAGATTGACATTCGAGTCCTTGACAAAATGCTTACAATTCTAGTTTAAATCTGGCCTCCATGTCAGTCCATTGTCTTTCTAGTAATTTCACATTCTATAAAGACAATAAATATCATAAAACTTATCATAATGGAAAAGAGAAGAGAAATGATGGTTAATATACAAAGTGGACTGGAAGAGAATAAATTTACATAGATCAGATAATAAACAAGTTTAGTAACATATGGTAACAAATCTTTTTTCAGTGAATTCCTCTTTTATATATATGAAGGATAGATTCTAGTGAATTCAACATAACATACACTAAATCAGAAGTATCATAATTTTTAAAGTATAATTAATGCATATCAAAGGATAAACCAATTGCAGATTGCAGAAATCTAATTAATTATACGGATAGCTTTTGATATATGGATTCCTCTTTTATGTAATTTTTAAATTATAATTAGTGGACATCAAAAGATGAACCAATTGCAGATTGCAAAAGTCTAATTAATTATACGGATAGCTTTGATGTCCGACACAGGCAAGCGATAAAGATTGAAAATAAAAGAAGGAAAGACCTATGAAAATGTAATATTTATACCTGTGTAAGTAAAATCTCCATGGTAACAGGATCAACATGATTATATAATTCCTCTACTTTACCACTTACATCACAAACCTATTAATACAAACTTATTTACACTCAAACAAATAAATGCAATAAAACACTTAGGTAAAACCAGCGGCTGCCAGGCAGGATACGCCCACATTTTCGAGAGATGGATAGAAAATAAGCTAAAACGAAAGTGATTTTTCCTACAATCAAGGGCCATAATTCAGGAAATTACAATTCGATATGCGCAAATATTGAAAGGAACCAAGATCTTTGGGTTATAAGCTTACATTTCAAGTTTCAACAAAATCGGATAAAAATTGTGACCTATACAGTGTTCACAAGCCAAAAACATGATTTTTCATACAATCAGGGACCATAATCCATGAAGTTACGGTCCGATACATGCCAATATCGAAAGGAACCGAGATCTTAGGGTGATAAACCTATATTTCAAGCTTTATTGAAATCGGATAAAAATTGTGACCTGTAGACTGTTCACAAACAATTGTGGACGGACGGAGGGACGGACGGACAGGGGCGACGACAATATACGTCCACATGAAAATGTGGGCGTATAAAAATGAAATATTTTGTACAGTAATGGTTTAAATAATCACAATTTAAATTTAAATAGCAACAAGCCAACAGTGAGGCTTATGTCCCCCGCCAAAATCTCAAAATAAATAGATTACAAATATTATTTAATTGCACATTTATCTTTTTCAAAAGTATCGAGCAATCAAACTGATTATCTATACTTAGTCTAAGCATAAAATGTTCACGATCAAACTCAGTCAAGGTTTTGAAGTATCTGGTAGTGAAACTATAAACTAAGTTTCATCACTCTCCATCAGTCAGAATCAAAGTTATCTTGTTCCAAAGGATCGACCAATGAAATTGCTCAGCTCTGCTTAGCTTCAGCGGGAAATGTTAATCATTGAACTCAGTCAAGACATTTACCTAATAAACATCTACATCAAGCTTGAACATTCTACCTCAATTAAAAGCAGAGTTGTTATATTCCGAAGTCTTGATCAATCAAATTGTTTATCGCTACATAGCCCAAGCAGAAAATTCTCATCATCGAATTTAGTCAAAATATTGATGTGATGAAACTATACTTAACTAGAGCCTAAGTAATCGTGTCCCAAAGCATCAACCAATCAAGTTGCTTATCTCTGCTTACCCTAAGCAGAATATGCTCATCTTCGAAATCCATCAAGGCATACACCTAATGAATGCCTACACAAAGTTTGCACATTTTACCTCGATTAGAAGAAGAGTTATTGTGTTCCAAAGTCTCGACCAATCAAATTGCTTATCACTCTGCTTATCAAGGTATTGATGTAATGAAACTATGCACCAAGTTTCATTACTCTAACTTAATTAGAACTAAAGTTATCGTTTCCCAAAGCATCAACCAATCAAATTGCAAAACTCTGCTTATCCTAAACAGAAAATGCTCATCTTCGAACTCCATCAAGGCATTCACCTAATAAACACCTACATCAAGTTTGAACATTCTAGCTCAATTAGAAGGAGAGTTATTGTGTCCCTAAAAGTGTGACCGATAGACAGACAGATGGACCGACAGACCCATTTTAAAAGCCCACTGCTTTCCTCGAAAGGCGGGAGACAACAACTTTACATCTTTCATAATTACAGATTTCAAACTTAAATTCAACTTACCTCATAATTCATGGTGAAGAAACCCCCACTACAAAATACAAAAAAATATAATAATCGAAAAATCACCTGTGAGAAATTTCTTCTTTTTTCAATTTGAATTTAATACATTAAATCTAAAACTTTTTGTTTAGATTCAAATCAATCATATCCTGATCATTGGCCCATCCCGAAAAAAAAGAAGTGAGAAGCAGCAAGTGGCTGTACTGTAAATATACTAAATTAATTAAAACAACAACATAGTTGCAATTTCTATTTATAAACACAAAACAATAGAGAAATTTTAACAAAATAAAATACTTGCCCTCCTATTTCATCTAAAGCAAAAGCTTGTACAATAGGCCATTTTTCTATTGCAAATTTATCAAACTTTCCACCATGGCCTATAATATAAACCACAACAACAAATGAAATGAAATGTGGTTAATGTCACAGACTGATGAAGATGGGCATATGCCATGTAGTGTTCTATAAGGTAAATTTTGCCTGGTCAGCGGTGCTACAGTCTAGACTACTCTTATTTTGAATTTTAACGGTCAAGGGTTCTTTTACATGCACACCCACGGTTAGCGAGCCAGCGCCTTAATAACTCAATCAGACACCGGGGCTCAACAACAACAACAAACCAATATCTGAATTAATTCACATTATATTCTAAGGATTACCACTGCCATCTTTATCAGTCGTACAATGTCTAATAAACAAATAACTAATTTCCCTTCGCAAAAATGAAGGCTAAGGTGATATCTAATTGTGTTAATTACTATTTAATGCCGTTGAGTAGTCTAAGATATGCACTAACTTTTCAACACCAATCTTATTAAGATTTTGCACACTTGTTCCATGTGTAAAATAACCATGTTTTTGCCATTTCCATGGATACAAGACAAACCACAGCCTATAGCCAAAAATAGTTCCATGGATACCATGCCAAATTTGATGAAAATCCATGCAGGCATAACTGAGAAAATTCAACTTTTGTTGACATCAGCCCCCTTTATTATCATTCTTTTGGGCCAAGTATGGAACATAGTTGGTAAATAAAATTGGTATTGTTTTGGTGATTAATATCTAGTTTATCACCCCCCAAAAAAACAAAAAAATGTCATATCTTATTAACAAAACTTACAGTGCTAGCTTTAGAATGTACATTTTAGACTGCTCAACGCCCTTAAAGAACACTCTTTAGTCCATAATTAAGAACACAAATCCAAGACAAATTGAAAACAATCGTGAGGGATGATTAAGCATTTAATAAACATGTTATTGTGAAACAGACCTGGTGAGAAAAATGGAATGCCGATACATTTCTTATCTTTCACCATTGCAACAAATGATAACATTTTAAAATCTTCCTCCATTTCTTCATCTTCAGCCTAAAATTAAAACAAAACTTACCACATCCTATTTTCAACTTTTCAGTTCAAGGTTCCCATACGTAACCAGCTTTTATTGTACTTTTGTATACAAATACAAGAAAAGTTTTGATCTGCCATTTGTATATTTTGTGCAAATCTAGCCAAAGATATATAAAAATCATAACATGTCAGACAGAAGTTGTACAGTGATTTTTAGTACAGATACAGTAGTGGTGGGTATAGGCAATTTAAAAGAAAATAATAATAGCATAAACTAGTTTATTAATACCTAAACCATGATGCATGAACTGTCTTACTATTTCAGTCGTTAACAAGGACGGATGTCAATTTGTTTCACCACTAACAGAATCTTCAAATCGTGGTTAAAGATCAACTGTAGCAAATGAAAAACCGGTTGATACTGATAGTAACTTTGTCATTTAATTGTGACTTAGGTTGTAGTTTGTTTGTGATGAAGTTGGTAGTCTTACAGAGAAGCCTAGATAGATATATTTTCAAAAGAATTATTTCACAGTTGATGCATAAAGAGCTGCCTGATGAATGGAAAACAACCAAATCACCCGAAGGTCTGTAATAGGACAATGATGTAAACCAGACTGACTATGATAGGATTTAACTTACCTCTGTATCTGTGAGACAATGATATCTGACATTAAACCAGTGTGATGTATATGGTAGTAAGTAATGATAGTTGATAACATTACAATAAATATCAACACTGTTACTGTTGATCACCAATATTATATCTGTAATAACAATAAGCAAATCATAAAACATCCAGGCTGAAAATAATGATAATAGGTGTACCTGACAAAACATCATGTCACAATTGCTGTTCAGCGAACATGTATTAACCCACAGAAACGAAGATGACATGTATCAGAGGTACTTGTCAAAGTCTGAATTTGAGTCTACGGAATAATGTTAGCAATAAGTGACTTATTTACAGACTTACTTGCTCTTATGTAAAATATATAACTGAAATTTTAAGTTAAAATATTAAAACTATAATTTTAGGGATGGGGTGGGGGACTTAAAACTAAAATTACCATCTAAATCTTCTTCATCAAATCCTGACCTACAAATAAACAAAGACAGTTATTTAACAGAGGTATCTGTTAAACGGGTTCAGAAAATTTTCAAACATTTACAATCTTCCTAAGTCCAAAACATTGATTGGAAAATATATGCACACCAAAAACACCTTTTTTGCTGAAAACATAAAAAGTTTTCTGCCAAGCGTGCAGTCGACGTTTAAGGATTTTTTTTTACTTTAATTCAGTTATTTCAGTGAAAAATTTTATTTTTCTAGCTCTAGGTCTTAAAAATATCAAATTTTTAGTTAAATATTAAGTTTTAGCTGGCATTAGAATGACCTATTTATAGACTAGGTCATTTCGGGACTAACTCGCGGTTCAATTTTATTTCAATAATTTGCTTGCGCGTAGGGGTCTTTAGCAGTGGGAGGAAACCGGAGGACCCAGAGAAAACCCACGAGGTTGGACGGACGATCCTACTCCTTGTTACGTACAACCGGGGAATCGAAACCATGCCAGTTGACTCAATGATAGACCTTAAGATTCATTGCACATGTGATAACCATTTGGCCATCCAACCAACCATAAAAACAGAGAAAGTTATGTATAAAATATTTGAGACTAATTAATAGTATGATTTATACCTCTCTAACTCTGTTTTACGACTTGTGAAAAAATCAAAGAGCAAATAATTTGTCAGATGTTGACACCCTTCATTATATCGACTATCTATACCTGAAAAACAGATAGAAACATCAAATTATACACTGAAGCTTTTCAATGATGAATCTGTTTGTGGATAACAGAAGCCTACATCATAGCTCACCTTTGATGTATAGCCGACACGTCATGTATATCCTACATTTATACCAGCAAATTATACAAATTCGAACATTACTTTATTGATCGCCAGTAACCATTCCCAAGAACATTATAACTATAATCTAAAAGTATTATTTAAGATGTAAATATTTTCATCATGATTTTTCTATGTCAGTGGTGCAGGATGTAGAGCATGGCATGACAAGGTACATAAACTACTAGTTCAAATGGGACGAAAAACTGAGGTCCTGCGTACACATTGCTGTGCACATAAAAGAACCCTCGGAAGTTGGAAATTGAAATAAGCTACTCCGTCCGGGCAGAATTTCCCGCATAGCACTAGCACACTGTATGACATATGCTCATCTTTGTTATCCAAGTCAGTGTAGCCTACTTATTCACTGAATTACCGGTACAGAAATTCTGTTTCCAGAAGCCTCCACAGTGTAAATTAATTTTAATAATTATATTAAGACTGTAACTTGACAATATTGCAGGCTGCAGCATAGATCTCAGATACAATCAAACAGTAAAATACAAACATATATATATATATTATTTTTAATCAGATAAACTTTACCAGTTATTGAGAGAATAGAATCTGGAGAATCAGCTTGGCCATTGTTACCATTTAATAAAGACTGAATTCTTCTCAATCTACAGCCACTGAAAAATAAAACTATCTTATAATCATTTTTAAATGATTTTCTATTTATTAATAATAAGACACAATATTCCAGACTAAAAGGCAAATATAGCATTCCAACAAAAAGTATCATACTAAAAAACATACTGTTCCAAACATTAATCAAGTCGATCATTGTGCCATAATATCTCATATACATCCACAAACATGGATGGAGGACACAAATAGCAGGTAACCATCAGCCAATCTTTCATATCTTAACGCAGAAATACCAATTGAATTAAGAATGGGCCCAAAATTTAAAGCCATTGATGTGTTATTATTTTGTTCTTTGGAGTCTGCATAACTCAACTTGAAGATGGATAGAAGAACAGAAATCCTATCTAATAAATTCTGTTTGGCATAGATCTATCATTTTTATGGCAGGAAAACTAATTCAATTCAATTATTCGATCGGTTCTCTGCAGGTGAAAGAGAAAATATGTTTCTGGTGTATTTACAGTGATTGAATTGAAAGTAGCTGTCTTCTTAGTACCATTATATATTATTATAATTAGTGTTGAGACAAACAAGTTGGTTAAGCTTAATTTGTCTGAGGTTATGCAGGTTATTGCACCACCTAGTTTGGTCTCTAGTAGCCTACATTAGCCAACCGGTCGGCGGTACCCTAGTTGACTAGAGATTTTATCTATGTATATGTCAATATTATATTGAATATTAATTATTATTATTCATGTTGTATTGTGCAACATCTTCTTTATTATAATAGGCCTACCGGTAAGCATGAACTAGCCATGTAGGCCTACACTTAATGTAAATAATTATCAAGTTGTTTATATATATTCCTTCCTAGAGACAAGGTTGATTTTTACGGGACTTTTCGGGGTAGGATTATTGATCAGGTTGTGGACAGGACATTGTCGCCGTGGGAGTGACTTTTTTCACACCCCGACAGTCACAAAATACAGTCTTCCAATTCCAAGTTCCAAAGCGTTCATAGCAACGGTGCTAAAATTCGTTTGTGTTCACAATTTCTTGGCAAGAGAAATGCGCTCACCTAACAAACTGATTGAATGTTTCATAATTAATGTGTCTGCGCGCAGACGATGGTCTTTTTAATTTGTTTGAGGACATTTTCAGTTGAAGTTTTCCAGTGCACAGAAAACGTTGTCTGCCATTGCATTACGTCACTGTCAATTGGAGTTATCCGCCCCAACCTACTTCCTTTTCCTGTTTTCTTGACTACGAATGTAAACAAAAACAAACAAAATTGGCATCCATAATTAGATCATGTTAATTTATGTGGAATAATCGACCTTGCTGACCCCACAAACTAACGACAATTGATGAAATGGATAATTATACGTTTGATGAAAATGGAATACCGACTTTAGTGGATGATCTAACAGATTCATGTCCTAACACACCTCAAAATCATGGCGACAGTCGCCAATATTCACAACGAAAAGCTTCAACGACAACTGAACCTGACAGGCGAATCCAAAGCTTCACATCGAGAGAAGACATAACAGATATATTTGATATCAAAGGCGAGGGCTTTGACTTTAAACTCTCTTATTCCACACAGACTTTAACATGGGCCCCTATGAACCCCGGTGGAAGTCGAAGTCGAAGTCGATCTCGATCAGCAAAGAGTTTCAAATCTTTGTTTAGATCCAACTCTTCATCTTCAATTGCTATAAATAAAAACAGTTTAAACTTTCGCGACATACTTGGTGTAAAGATAAAACGCAGAAAGCGAGGTGGTCAGAAAGATGGAGAAGGATTCTGTCTAGGTATCGGAATTCTTACCTATGAATTTAAAACCCCAAATGTGATGAAAGATCGCATGATTCATCTGGAACACCCTAGTGAAGAGGTTTGTGAAAAATGGGTAACAAAAATTTCTGAAATTTTGGAAACCTTTGATGAAAGGCCACGTTCAGTTAAATTATTTCTGCAGCCATTTGCTGGAGAGAGAGATGGCTTGTCAATGTTCCGACAGAAAATTTTGCCGTTGTTTCGTACAGCAGATTGTAATGTTGATATGGCAGAAATACAGCATAATGAACAGGTTAAACAAGACTTAATCCATATCAATTTACTAGATTTTGATTGCTTAGTTTGTATGGGTGGAGATGGAACTGTAAATAAAGTTGTCAATGGACTATTAAATCAGTCAAATAAAGATTACGGTATTGAAATGAAGCGAACAGTTAATCCTGTTCCAGCCACCATTGCTCTTGGAATTATACCAACTGGTAAAACCAATCATATAGCTCAATCCATCATGGGAACCGATGAACCAGTGACAGCAGTTTTACATGTTCTATTTGGAAATCGAACCAAAGTAGATGTGTGTTCTATTTATCGTGATGAAAAATTTCAACGTTGGGCATTTAACAGTCAGTATGGTTTTGCAGGAAATGTTTTAACTTTTATGAAACGATATAGTGCTCTGGGTACGAAATGTGTGGAAGCAGCATTTCTTAAAGCTTTAACAAAATCTAAATTACGTACGTACGAATGTGACATTGAATATATACCAGGAGGGGAGACAGTCGCGCCTGTGTTTTGTACGAGATGTGTGACTTACTGTAAAGTTTGTAGTGCGGAGAGCAACAGTGTTCACAATGATCTTGTGGAAGAACTTGACCCTATGGCACAGTCTGGATCAACCAGTTCTTTAATTGACTTGGGCAATACTTCAAATCCGTGGAAAACACTTAAAGGTGATTTTCTAAATGTTGGATTATTCACAATATCTGGGGTGTGTGATTTTGCTCCACAAGGTTTGAGTAAGTATACACATTTAAATGATGGTTGTATGGATTTATCTGTTGTTAAAAACGTTGACAGAAAAGATTTTATTAGATTTCTTCGTCGTCATGGAAATTCTAAAAACCAATTTGATTTTCCATTTGTTGAGACATTTCGTGTGAAAGAAGTTCGATTCCGCCCAAGGTTTCCAAGTAGCTGGAATTATAAGGATCACGATTTTAATGAGATTGACTATGAGATGTCAAAGGTCAATAGAAATCAAATTAACAATCGTTCAAAGTCAATGCAGGTTATAACGGATCTGGACAGTGAAGACAGGTCGTCTGTGACTTCAATGAGTTGGGGAGGAAATGGACGTCGAGCCGAGAGTGCAATGACACTGCAAGCTTTATCAATTGATTCCGATATGGAAGAATCCGATCCCCATGAATCTGACGGTCGATCAAATTACAACATGCAATCACAATCCAACCTGGCTGGACCACAATACCGCATGACATTTTATGATAAAGAACGACAGAAGCGGAAGAAACATCAACGCAAGAAGGAAGAAAAACGTAAATTTCGTGAAGAGAGAAAAATGCGATCTGTATGGAGTGTTGATAATGAGATTTGTACTGATTTAGAATTAGATTTTAAAGTGCATCATGGATTGTTAATAGTTTGCGGTTCTGGTCTGAATCCTAGTACGCCAGCACAGGAGGTGAAGTTTGGATGCTTACCAGGATTATAAGTTGATTTGTGATGAAGTGAACATACAACCATAATATTAATATACTGTTGTCAATTTTTTGTTATCCCCCACCGATTGTTTTATCTGGATGTTGCCTTAACCAAAAACAGAGTTTATTGTCTGCGCAATAGATTTGACTGTTCGAAATCCTAACATCCCTTAATCCTATTTCACATATTTCAAATGTTACGGTATATGTACTTATATTAAGAAAAAATGAAATTTCATTTTAAATTCATATATATTTTTTCATTATTTTATTAGAATTTTTCCAAAGAAAAAAACATTTTTTTTACCCATGAAATGGCTGGGCATTTATATTACCTATTGGTAAAGAGCTTTTATTACAGGACAGATTGTTTTTTATACTGAGATTTATTTTGAATAAGTTAAAACTATATTTTTATGCTGTGCCATTAAAGTTTGATGTTATCGGAATGTAGTATCAGTAGAAAAGTATTCAGCCCAATATTTTTTTTACATAAATATAAATTTCTAATTCAAATACTGAAAGCCAATAATAATGGACACATCATATTTTAAATAAACTTATAATATATTATGGCAATTTATTTACATTTTATATGAATTAAACAGTATTTTTAATGATGTTGTGTAGGATGTTTTTCTGTATTGTTAGGCATACAGTATTGAATAGAGAGATGGACATCAAAACAAATTTATTTAAATATATTCTTTTAATTTCATGTTGTTAAGTTTTTATCTGGTTATTATTAAGTTTTTACGGTTTTTTTTATGACCAAAATTTTACTGAGCGTGCTGTAAGAAAAAGGTAACAATTGGTCCGTTTCTTGTTAGCACAATATAGGCTACAATAATTCCTCATATAATGAATAATATATCTTTTTTCAAATTGGTGTGGATCGTCTACCTAATTGAAATGAAGAGACCTATTGATTTTCAACATTTTCGATAATCACCCCAAAATTTGTGCTTTTTTTGTTATGCAATCTTGTTAGCATTTGTCTATTCTGTTGAAAGGAAGAACTCTTTTGATTTTTAACAATAACTTCTAGAGATATTCCCCTTTGATCAGCACCCTAGAGACTTAAAATTAAGGTCCAAACTTTGTGAAATTATTATAAGTTCATTAGCTGATAATATAAACTAATTTAATTATTTTGCTGCTGATATGTGTAACCTATGTGTAATATCATCCAAGATATGATTGTTTAAAGTTTGTATAACATATATAAGGAACCAAGATAAGATTGTTTAAACTTTGTGTAACATAAGTATAAGGAACCAAAATAAGCTTGTTTCAAGTTTGTATAACATAAGAAACCAAGATAAGATTTTTTCAAGTTTGTGTAACATAAGGGAAAGATAAAGTAATTCAAAGTTTTCCTCCTTGTTGGTGTATACAAACTTATGTTGTCATCATACAGTAAAGATTAATTTGTAACGGGTCCTAGAAACTAAAATTATACTAGCCACAAGCATTTAATATTTTAATTTGATTTATACTGCTGATCATCATTTTAGAACTGCTGAATCGTGAATAGCTGAAAAAAACTATTAGCAGTAGCTTACAATTTTTTTATAAATAATATTTATATTAAGTATCTGGTGTGACTAACTTTGTTAGTTGTTATTTTACTCAACTTACCAGTATTTGTTTCAGAAATGATTGAATCTATTTGTGATACCTGCAGTCACTGTTTGTGTTATATTGTTATAGCTCTCCCATCCTCTATCTACTGATATCCTGCTCTGTGTGCTTTGTTTGTGCAATAATACATGCTTGTCTAAAATTGGTTTGTGTATAAAGTGACTAAACTAGTATTAAAAATATTTATCCAAATTTAATTTCACATGTAATTTATTCTTAAAACAACTTCTGGAAAAATTTGGCGTAATAGACAAAGCATTTAAGACCAAAAAGAATTTCTAGAGTGATTTTATGTCTGTCAGTGTCATCAATATTGTGGTCAGTTTGATCATATTGTCAGTGATTAGAAATGAAATGGTGTTTAACGTCCTATTTTTCTGCACACCAATGTGGACACAGGCCTTGGTTTTGCATCCCAACTGAACGACTAGACACCGTTCTGCACCGACAAAGGGAAACCACACCGGAAAATCCTGAAGATCTTTCTTTTCCAACACCAGGAGTGAACCAGAGACCTGGTTATAAACCAGCCACTGTGCCTGTCAAGGATTAGGGTGTCTGTCTAACCTCTTATGATTGTATATTATAATATAATGAAAATGAAAAGTATGGTCTGAAAAACATATTATGATTGTATATGAAAATGAAAAGTATGGTCTATCTAACCTCTTACGATTGTATATGGCAAGGGTATATGCAAGCTTAATAATGAAAAAACAAGAATTAATTATGTCACTGTATTAGAACATACAGTACATGAGCAGACTGTTTTGTATTGGAGCCACGGTGGGTAGGTGGGTAGGATGTTGGCCCCCGAAAGTTCATCGGGATTTTCTGGGGTGGTTCCCCCTTGTCAGTGGTGTAGGATGTAGGGCCGCAATCCATCGGCTATGTTTGGTATTGGTACGACGTTATTAAGTCTCCTCTGAATTTCATCCCCAAAATGTTCAATCGGGTTTAAGTCCCGGACTAAGGGCTGGCCGGTGCATAATGTTGACACCGTTCTGCTGTAGAAAGTCCTGAGTAACTCTGACTGTGTGGGCACGTGCGTTGTCATGCTGGAAAACGTTGTTTCGATGACGTGCGAAATGTGGTATGACGCAGGGTCTGAGAGCTTGGTCGATGTAGCACACTGCTGTGATGCTGCCTCCTCTCCCTGGACCAAGATTTTGGAACACCACAGGACCCACTCTCTGGTTCAGGCCAATTCCAACCCAAACTAGGTTAGTTCAGTAATGATAATATTAATAATGTCAATTTGTAATGTGCTAGAATCCACAAAGTTTGGTAAAAGTAATACATCATCATGACATTGTGAATAAATAAAACTATACATCTTGATTCAAGTTTAATAAATTTTTACAATATCAAATTATTTGTAAATATATAATCAAAAATAAATTATCCTAATGGGACACAATTCCAAATGAATGATGATGTGTTTTCTTTATGTTTATAAATATGACAATAAAATTAACATTATAATAATTGGCAGGAAATAGCTATGTGCCTAAACAATAAATATCAACAAATTAACAAAAGGAAAACATTTGATACACAAACTTAAATCAACTTTTATTTACATTTTCCTGAAAAATCTGGAACTGCCCTTTTAAATGTTGCTAAGGTTTCATTTACATCTGTGCTAAATCAAAATGGAATTTTCTTATTTTAAATTAATTTGATCAGCTTGGCCAAGAAAAGTGCCTATGAATCAAAAAAGGGCCCCTTTGACTTCAGTGCAAGGGCCCCAAGTCAAAGAGAATAAAATTCAAAATTTCTATTAGAGAGAAAATTTGATATGGACCCCCTGTGGCAGGAGTCCTGAGTCCAAGAAACGGGCCCCTGAATCTGAGAAAAGAGTCTCGTTGATATCAGTGCAAGAGACCCTGTACATTTGTCTAATAGTAAGGCAGATCCAACACTCCATCATTCATCAGGTCAAATTTTCATTTGTTTTATTAGCTTTGTTCAATGCCCCACACATGCAGTGAGCTGAATTTGGCGTCTGGACATTCGTTAGCTAAGACTAAGAACAATTAAAATATGAAGATTTGCTTTGCTTAATTCCTTTCAAACAGATCTATTTTATCCAACAATTGAAATAGCTTTTGACTTAATCTCTAGAGGCCCCTGCTGCAGCCCTAAAGCCCATGGATAATATTATCTCGAGACAGTGAACATTTTCGCAAGTCAGAAAGCTTGAAATGTGAAATATATGTTGCATGTCCATTGTCTCAAAATTAGTGGTGCGGTATATTACAGGTCATTTTGTTTTCAAGGTGACTGATTAACAATAGCAAAACCACTTTATGGCGTATATGCCAGTCTTCATTTCTCCAGTTGGTGCAGAAGGAGAGGGCATTAAACCCAATCTCATTTGATTTTGACAGATTTAGACAACAAAATCATCGGTTCCAGTTTGTATCTAAACCCACAGGAAAGTGTTGTAATCTCATCTACAGCAATTTAATTTTTTGGGGACGGCCCTAAAACCCCTGTCCCTTGGACACTTTCAGAACAAGCCACCTTTGTTGGCCGATCCCTTAATCCACCCCTGATCTGACATTTTGTAATTAAAAAAAAAATCATCACAAATATGAGAATTATCACAATACTGTTCAACTGGATTTTCAATTTGTGTCCAACTCAGACATCTTTCCCTGTCCTACTATTATTAATTGCCTCACTTTCAACTTCTCTACTTTTACTTTTTTCTAAACTACTTTCACTTTCACCAATTTTTTGGGTCTTCATTCTATCAGTTCTATCTGTTTTACATTTAGTTAAAACTTTATCTAATCTAGTTATAAATAGGTCAACGTCATTTCTCGTCATTCCAATCGCGGCTGCTGCAGTTAAATATGAAAATGGATATACGTCTGAATGTGAACCAAAATTTTTGAACATATGTCCTCCAATTGTATTATTTTTACCAGGAGCAACAACTCTGAAATAAAGAAAAAGAAATTTTGTATACATGTAGTCTAAGACCGATCATTCATAGCTTCAATCTCCCATTCAATGTATGTTCCAAGAAAAATTTTTAACTTTAATTCTGTCAATTGCATACATTTGAAAGAAAAGTTGTAGAGATCTTAGTTGTTGTAAATCTTGAGAATTCTTGTAGATTACTTTCTGCAGGATCTTCCTCAAATCACAGACTTTTAGGTTCTGTTTTCTCAGATAAAAACATGGAACTATTGACTCATTTTAAATCTAATAAACAGATGATATTTTACCTTGTTCCGGATACAAATCTAGTGAACAACATTGACCCTACTTCTGTTGGAGGAATACTGTCATCCAAATTAGATAAAGTCATACCTAGAAATACAGTAAAATCATATGTATCGTCAAGTTGAGGTAAAAATATGGATAACGTGTTGTGAAGTTGAGGAGAAAACATGGATAATGTGTTGTTGAGTTGAGAAGAAAAGATAGATACTGTGGTTGAGTTCATGAGAAAATGTGCATACATCAGAAAGAAAATTGAAATAAAATTGGCTGGTGTTTCATGCAACCATTATTTCACTTACACATCTACAGCTGGTTGGAATGGAATACAGACATAACATGGTTACAGAACAGAAGTATCTTAAACACAATACAACAGCTCAGAAAAAAAGAAAACTTGGAACAAAATCAAGAGTTTGAGATTATTTTAATTTAAAGATACATTATGGGAGATTCGGTAACGAGTTGGCAGTTCTCACTATAATAGTTAAAAACTAGATAATGTAAAGGTAATTTGCTGAAAATTTCATTCAAATTGATCAACTATGAACCGAGAACTAAGCGACTGAAATTTCCCCCTAGCCTCAGTCATCATTACTAAAGTCAGTACAATAAAAAGCATAGTCTCGATTATCCACTTAATCGTTAAATCGAGAAGGAAAGTTATGCAGTAAATCGGCTCACAATCCACTACAGATTGCAGGCTAGAGCTGCCATCTAGAGTTGATTATGGCCTGGATAGGTTAATTAATGTCTAATTAATAATTTAGATAACATTCCAGGCCTAAGTGGGAGGAAACCGGAGGACCCGGAGAAAACCCATGAGGCTGGACAGGCAACCCTACTCCTTGTCACGTACAACCGGGGATTCGAAACCACGCCAGTTGACTCAATGACGGGCCGTTTTGATACAGCGCGCACGTGCTAACCATTCGGCCATCCAACCCCCCACTACAACTCAGGGTATCATTTAGTTGAACTGTGTTTAATGTGGAGTTCAAACCATTCTTGGTAAATTGTTAAAATTCGTTGAGAATCATCAAAAACTTTTGTGTCTCTATTGTCAAGTAGTTTAATATGGTCCATCTAGATTAGATAATGATTGTTGGGTTAACTTTCACTAGCGGTGTCCAGTAATTAACCAACAAATTAATCATACAATTTCGCTCCCAGTTTTTTAGACTTACTTACCGATAGAAATTGGGTTATGTTTTGTTTGTAATAATCTTTCTCCATGGAGTACGGCACAAGATTGAAGCCTTTCAGTTAAATATTTACACAATTCCTTTCTCTCTGATAGAAGATTTTTATAACCTGTTGTTCCCATAGAAACAAGAGTTATAAATAGATCTATAGATGGTGTGGCTGATGCCCTTCCTGTTAAAAAAGGAACATTTTTTTAAACTTAAATTAAGTTTGAGAATGACTATTTCTGTGTAATTTATCCAACAAATATCCTCACAATATCAGCACAAAGTTCTACAGATAATGACATCATTTGTTGACGTCACTAAATATAACAGTATCATATGTTTATTACGACGAAATCAATGCACATGATCAGAAATTCATTATATATGTGTACAGTACTTTGGCTTTAATTATTTTATATATTTTTAATGTCTATTTCTTATATTTTGATTTAAAATAGGTTACATCCCATTCTATGAAGATAAATTTCAGAATTTCAAACACAATCTGAGAAATAAGTGAAATTCTAACCTGGGTAATTTTTACCAACTTCCTCTACAAGTCCAGCATCGAAACCAGCAATAATAGAGCCTCCAACTGGTACCATGAAATTCTTATCTAAACTTTGGACAAACAAGTCTACACGACCAACTCTAGCTGCCTGGATGACAGAATAGAAATCGGCAAAAATCATTTAATGTTTACAAACTTTTAAGTCTAGTAATTTCATAAAACTCTACAGTGTGTATTGACATTTTTATTAACAGTAAAAATATGTGTGGTTTCCCGGGCGATTCTAATGTACACTTAATTAACAGAAGAAAAGTTGTCAATTACCTAAACAGCTTGCAGAAAACGTTTGAATTCCACAATATAATAAGTAATTCCACCTGGTCTTGAAAACATTTAATTAAAACCCCATCCTGTATTATTTTCACAGGCTTTAAATTCAAACTGTACAAAGGATAGTTACACTTTGTTTTGCTATTGAAAAATGGTTCTTTATTACAACCAAAAGAACCATTTTTCCTGGGTTACTGACATTAAATGATTTTCTTAATAGTTATTAATAGTTATTAAAAGAAGATATGTAAAATGGGTCTGTATCAATAACATCCTAAAACAGAGAGAGAGAGAGCAAGAGAGAGAGAGAGAAAGAGAGAGAGAGAGAGAAATGGGGTTTAACATCCACTCGACACAAACTAGGTCATTTTGGGACTTACATGTTTTAATTTTATTTCAATAATTCACTTGCGCGTACAGATTTTTAGCAGTGGGAGGAAACCGGAGCACCCGGAGAAAACCCATGAGGTTGGACAGGCGACCTTACCCCTTGTCACGTACAACCGGGGAATTGAAACCATGCCAGTTGACTCAATGACAGACTTATGTTACAGCGAGCACGTACTAACCATTCGGCCATCCCCCCCCCCATCCTTAAACAGCAACAACAAATAAGATATTTATGTAGACAGACGACAATATACCTGTTGCAATAGATGTGTACATTTTGAAGCTTGTAAACCATAGGCATTATTAACCAGGTGTGGAATATCATATTCTTTACATAGTAAACCAATTTCCTCTAAACTGGATAATAGAAAATAAAATATACAAAGATATAGTAATAGTACACCAACGTCTCTTGTTAAGTGCATGACTATCAGATACTGTGAAGATATGTTTAAGCAGCTAGACTTACAGATAATATACTGTTAAATGGACATGATTTAAAGAGGATACCGAACTGTGTATGTTAAACTGCAAAATATATTTTAACATACACAAAATCAAAACAAAAAAATTCAGAGAATATTCCCTTTGTTTGTGGATTGTCTCCCTTGTTCTCAGTTTTTTTTTCATTTTGACTGGACAGCGCAGTGTAGGCTTATGGCTGGCCTGGTCCCCAGATCCATTCACTTGATTTGATGTATACGTTTGTTGTTTATTACTTGTATGTCTGTGTATTATGTGTCTTGTCTACAGGGTTGTCATAATGGTGTTTGTTTGTGGGTGGTGCAACCCTTCTCGATCTGATTAAAATACAGGTCTATATTTCGTTTCATTTTTTTATACTTTCGATGGCCTACACTATATGAAGATCTGACCGGTTGTACTGGAAGGTCGTGTCAGGGGTTTTGACCATAATGACATCAGACATTAATTAATCAATCAGCGTTGGCATTTCTAGTAGTTTACTCACAGTGTCGTGCATTGCACTCTAATAACTCGCCGTAACAGCCATTTCATTGGCTAATTCCTCACTTTAACAAGAATGCCGGTAATGTAACAAGTCTTTCAGATCCTAGCGTAGTAAAGACAAGTAAAACAAAATTTTGAACTATAAAAAATGAAACAAAATTATAGAATCTGTGTTTTAATAAGATTGGTCCCTTCTGCACTTACTATTAGATCTCCTCAGGATCACACATAATAAAATTACCTGTCTGGTATTCTTGGTGCAAAACAACTTGTAGTTGTCATTACACATAAAATATTATCTGCTCCGAACAATGCTATTTTTTCTTTAATGGCAGACATATTGGTCTTTAGTTCATCTCCATCCAAACAATTCTCTATGACAACCGGCTCAAAACCTTTAAAACATAATCACAGTTGACTTATTCATCATTTACTAAACATGTGTAAATAATAATAATCCATAACTTTGATTATTCTCGGTAGTTAACTCCTGCCTTAATGGGGTTTTTTTAAAAAAAATAAATTTCACTTATGACTCTAATGAGTTTTTCCTAATAAAATAACTTTTAAAAAGCTATTTTGTAAAACTTTGCTCTAAATTGAAATTGTGCGATGAAACAAGCTAAAAATGTCATCTCTGAAATGCTGTATTGTCTTTCAAGCAGAAGTGGACTTAAAAACTATGTTAACTGGATGAATAAAAAAATGTATTATGTCTCAAGTCCTTCTCTACTTCAGTTACATACCTGCTGTTATGATCGATTTAAAACATGACTTCTGATCTATTCGTGGCCATATTACATATTTAGCCGATCTTCGTTTCTGTCGTAAAGTCAACATACATAATGATAGACTCATTCCTGTTGCCATAGGTACCACAAAACACCCTTCTACAGACTTTATGCCTAAAAAAAAAATGCATATATGATTAGTAGTACGTCGTATTGCAATGTCTAGATCTTGACTATCTGGTTAAAACTGTTAAACCTCATTTCATTCGTTTAAATCAATTCCCCCGTCTTCATTAGCCCAGGTTAGGAGCAGAACAGTAGGACGTTAAACTCCATTTCATTTCATTTCATTTAAATCAATTCCGAATTTTTAAAATATTGTGAATCCTCCAATTAAAATATTTTCCAGTGTATATCTATAGGTCAGTGATGGGATTTTACCCGTATATTCCGGACTTGTCCGAATCTTTTTTCGAAACGCCCAAAATTGTCTGAGCGGGAATATGCCCAATCGGACATCAAGACATGGTGAATAATATTCAAATTCCAAAATTAATATAGTGTACTGAGTTTATAACTACAGTGCAACCCGATTATCGTTGAGAATAGGCTGGATTGATTAGGTAATTAAGTGATCGACTACTTATCCTCTACACACCTACCTTGATTAACTACTTATTCTGCCTTGATTGGCTGACTTAATTATTTATCGGACAATTCATCAAATCAGTCCTGAACAGAAGTCATTGCTTCTCCTTTGTCGGACGATATATCAATCCAATAAGAGTGATTATAAACTTAATCTGATTAACCCGTGATTTATCCATTGTCTCACGTTTTAATCTCCTTTGTGTCGGACAATAACACGTAGAAATTAGTCATATATGTCACATATCCTGATAACATATAACACCTCAAATCAACATACATTGTATCCGATAACTTGTCTGTCATATATTTTCGGTGGCAGCCGAAGTTAAATAAAGATATTTCACACACACGCATATGGCGCTTATAGTTCAGTAATTAAAATGAAAGTACAAATCTCGCGAGACACGTGAAATTAAGAGATGTATACGTGATGAATGCAATACGCCTGATATCCGAGAAAAGATTCTATTTTGATGGCATATTGTCGGATTTATGATCATATTTTGAATGGGGTTTATGTCTTTAAATAAATAAATAAACACGCTAAGGAATGTTGACGAATATTTCCATTGGAATGACGTAAGTAGTTAATTGTTTTAGACGACGTAAGTAGTTAATTGTTTTAGACGATAGCGCGTGTGACAGTCAAATGCAATTATTTAGCAGTTGGTGTCACTCGCTCGTTGTATTAGAGCGCCGTTAACTATGGTTTACGGCCAAATAAATTTCGGGATGTCATTTTTTTTACCTTCCGTATATAAATCGAAACGGAGTATCAGACGAATGTCGGACTTTGCTGAAAAATGTACCGACGTATGACCCGAAAAATACGGTAATTTTGGGGGAGTTTGAAACAGATCGGCAGCAGTCGGCACGCTGCCATTCTATAGTATTACGATGTCATGTAATTTTGTAGGAATATTATTGACATAAATTTGAATACCGTACGGGTTTTAAACATGAAATATAACGAGGTGCACCTATTTTATTTTACATATGAATTTGAATATATTTTGTTGACACGTGATTCTTAATTGTGTTTTGAAAACGTCTGCTTAAATTACGATAAGAGTTATGCCCCTTTATTTTCGGGAAAAAATGTCCGACAAGAAAATTTTTGAAATCCCATCACTGCTATAGCTTGATTTCAATTAACTAATATCATAAACGTCCTTTAGCAGACAATAGTATCGAATAACAAATACAAAAGGTCAGTTCCATTATCCTTGAAAAAGTATTCAAATTTGAATATCTGTGTAGCATTCAATCTAAACTCAATACTCAAATTTGACCTTAGAAAGTAGGAGTTGTATATGACCTTTAGTCTTGTCATGTGAGCAGGGCTTTAGTCCTGTCTAGTACCATATACCTGCTATTTTAATGGCATCCAAAGCCAGTGAGTTTGTTAATTTCATTAATAAACTGGAGCCGGCAGCTTTAGGTTGTACAGCTGTGATATCACCTGATCTGCCAATACCATGTCCTAAACTAAAATACACAAAACATCTATATATTTAGATACATAATTGTGATCAGTGGATATCACCCAATTTTCCTATGACATGCATAATGAATGATCGAAACTAAAATTGACAAAATATACAAAATAAAGATTTATAATCATGATATCATTCAAATATTCTCCACACAGCATGACCTAAATGAACATAGCTTGTCAGACAAGATTACATCATGGCCACCACCAGCTTTGTTATCCATGCATTAATAAGACTCACAATGTTTTGTCCACCACTCTTTTAACGTACCGTACGCAAGAAAATTAATAATGTAGAGTTAGTACTCTTTAATCAACTCATAAGACAAGCGTAATATTTCTGGAATTACTTTTCTGACAACACTAAATTATTTATAGGAATTATCTACAGCCCATACTAACTATTCCATGCTGACAATTTGCTGAAAATAGGGAAAGAACTTAACACAGTAAAGTGATTACGAATCAACAAGTCATTGGCAATTATTCTGCAACTAGATTTAGTTGGTTCAAAAATGTAGGACTTAACCCCTATTTCATTTCATAATTCTAGAACTACTTTTACAAAAAACTCAAAATTGCTAGTTATTATCTTCCAACTTTACTCCATGGACGGCAGGCCATGATAATATGAAAATACATAAAATATAGATTGAGATATATAACTAAAAATCTAAAATACACATTAATTTTGATTTATGCAACAGTTCGCAATAATTTGATGTGTTAAACAGATACCCGTACGTATAAATTGCCCGGGGGGTACAGACACAACAAAGGGGACCTGTGGCAATGGCCCATAACAAGAATTATCCAAATAAATAAAACTGTGTTTTCCCTTTGTGACACATAATATTGTTGATTATTTAAGGTCTTTTTGTCCATGGAAGATTTCACAAAAAAAAGCATGGCTCAATTTTATGCGCACATTTGACATGTCAGCTGATATTATAGGATGTGATCCTGTTCATTAAGCACTACTTGCTCACCGAACAAACTAAATAATTCAATAATAACTGGCAAAACTTCTGACTTGCAAGGTGATTACAAGGTATCTGACTGACAGAGATAACAATTACCAAGCACATTATAAACTACCTTCTGAAATGAAATAACAATATTTACCCGAAATGTCTTTTATAAACTAATGAAGAGTATATTCTGGCCTCTCTTTCACCGACCCCACAATTACCGTTAAAATTATTGCTGTCCATAACGGCCACATCTTGTAAAAACATCTCTACGGTAACATCATCCCAACCACACTCTGGTAATTTTCTCTGAAAATATTCAAATTATTAATAACAATTAAAAAAACACATACCAATTACCAACGATAACAACCTCTAATGATATAATAAGTGGTATCAAATCAACAATAACAGTCCTCTATAATCTCCAAAATTATACACTAGGGTATAGTGCTTTCTACACATCATATCTCACAATATGCATTTCTGCCTCCACTTTTGAAATCCTATTAAACCCACAAGCTCAAAATTAAGAGAAACTTAAATAGCACAATACAGATACTCGCTCAAGACCACTTTGTGTAGTTGATAACAATCGTTTTCCAGGTTGATACTTGAAATAAAAATCCTAAATACAGAGCCAGCAGGTTTTATTTGGAATAACAACCTCGGAAATAGTTTGTTATCTGACTTACAACATCGATCGCCAAGTATGAACCACTGCTTACCTTGTGCATGTGAAATTCAAAACCTATGGTTATTGGAGGTTAATATTAGGGTATAGCAATCTTAAAACATCAATTGTTGCTATACAAGATTTAGTCTGGAGACAGATCATTCTGTACACAGGGATCCATCTACTTCGAGAATAAATCTCTGTCCTGAATGGCTGCCATATCCAAAAATTAGTATATTCTTTAGTAATGTGGTTCTACTCTGTTTCACATCTGGCATGCACGCAAAGACTAAATAAACCTATTCAATTCCCTTAAAGGGAAGCAGAATAAATATTTCTCAAAATTCTCAAAGTATACTTAGTGTTTTCGATTAAATTGTCGATTTAGAACTTAAAATGTGAAAAATATGCCAAGAGTCCAAATTAAATGGCAGTCTTTGGCATCTGGTTATATAATTATATCCTGTGGGATATGTTTAGCCTCGTTCATCGAGTCACTTCATTACAAATGGCGCTCAAATGCATTGTCTTAAATATTGGATACCAGAAACCCATCAATGTACATAACGGTTGGTTATGTACTCGTTTTGCAGCACGACTGACTATCCTGGCAGCAGTATTTTGAATTATTTGCAGTTTTGAAATTAAGTTGTGATTTAGACCACTCAAGATGCTGTTTCAGTAATCCATTCTAGAAAAGAATAGTGATCTTACAAATGTGTGACCAGAGTCGTTTCATATTGCCAGAAATGAAAGTACATGTAACATATCTTGCACAAGTGATTTACATGTTTTTCCATTGTTAGATTGTGCTTGTATATCAGAGTCTGCAATTGTCATCATGGATGAATCAATTTTCTGTAGGCTCTATTTCGTACCAGCAAGCATGACTTAGGTCTTGTTGCCGTTTAATTTCAACATACTTGAGGTCTTCCAAGATATGATTTCCTGAGTACATGATGATGTCACGTGGAATGAGTTAGTATATTGAGTTGGCGTGAAGGCATCAATAATTTGGGTATCATCCGCATATGAATGGTGGGAGAGTTGATGATGTCTAACAATGGATGCAACTTGACTGGTGTATAAGCCGAATAAGACAGGACCTAACACAGAGCCTTGAGGTACACCACAGGCTATTGGGGTTGTTGCTGTGATTGTACATAGTGTGTCCCACTATGTACTGACCTGGGGGTAATCGGGACAATAATTTTTAATTTTTTGTTTCGCATTTCCTGAATTATATTTCAACTGAAGTTTTGAAACTTAGTATATTGGCTATCTACATGTAGCTATTTTTACATTTAGTATATATCAAACCCTGATTTGTCTCATCAATTTGGTTAGAAAACAAAATGTGTCAAACCAATCTCCCAAACAGAGTTGTCTTCCCTTGTAGTCCACACTAATCCCTGCTAATGGCTCATTTGACTATGGTACCAAGATTCTTGGTATCGATACTCAATGATAAACAATACTATGGAAACCAAATAAATGATAATATATATTTCTTTCTATTACTATAATCAAATAGAAATGGGGTCATATTTATCATAAAATAATAAAGTATTTATAAATATATAGGGAACTCTTTCGCGAAAGATAGCTACTAGCTAGGTTCAATGGTCGTAAATACGAACTGCACGTTGTGCTAATTTTAGAATTATATACATGTGAATCTGTTTACCTTTATAATGTAAGGCCTAATACATTTACACATGATACATGCAAATTTAGATTAATTTTTTTTTTTTGAGGGATAGATAAACTAGATTGATGACATTTTCCACTAATATTGACAAAAACTGATTAAGTGTTTATAACGTTAGGAACTTTTCTGATAAATGCCATTTTCATCTGTAGTGCGCGAGCCGACGGCAGAGTCGAATGCTGGATAGCTAGAATTATGTGGAGAATGGTGTTAAACATGCCTCTGTGATCTCCCCTCCCATATATATAATATAGGCCTAGATTGCTTTTCAAATCTGTACATCGGTGTGCAATGATACACCTCTTATAGGCATCTTGGAACTCATGATGTTTGTTTAATTTGCTTTTCAGAATGTTCTAATTTCATTTCCCCATTCCCCGATACAATGATAATGACTAAACAAAAATTGTCATGGTTGCCGTTTCTAAAGGGTTAATTCGGCGCTATTGCACTTTCGTACCTCTACCAGTTCCCGTGGTCGTAAGAACTTGAAATTATTAGAGGATGTTAAGGGGGACTAGCAATGACCACACACCAAATTTCAGCCGAATCGATCAATAACATTTTTATTTTACCGACCTTTTAATTTCTAACGAGAGAGAACTTCATCTGTTTGACGCCATTTGCTTTGTTTACTATTTAGACTCGAATAACAAGACACTAAGACGGAAACCGACACACTGCACTAGCTGCCTATCTCTGCAGTTCATAAAAATTAATATAATTTTCGTATACTTTAATTTTTGCGCGAAGCCACCATGTTCTATAAAATACTATTTGGTGTTGATCAGTGGATTGGCCTTTAGGTGTGAATATTGCCGTGACCTTGATTTTGACCTTGAGTCTTAACTTCCCATCCATATCAGGGCCTTTGCGTTTATGATTGCCGTGGCCTTATTTCTTACTGTATTTTCAAAGTTAATGTTCGAGGTGAAAGCAGAGACGACGTCCTTCGGAAAAGATGATTGGGTCAAAGTCGTAGGTCAAGGTCATGTTACAGAAAACTAAACTCAAACTTTTCAAAGTCATTTTTTGGACATTTGACCTTGACTTACGACCTTGACCCCGTAACCATTTTCGAAGGCTATCACCATGGCTTGAATCATGGACGCTTACCTTGGTTCTGTCACACACTGCTCGGTCAGAAAAGGGTCAAACGGAGAGGGGCCCGTGTCCGAAAGGAAGTCAATGGGCGTGGTCAATGTGAAAGGTCGTGGTGACCTCCACTAGTCACCGTTAACCATCCGTGACCTTGACCCTGACCTAGAGTCCGAACTTCCCATCCATCTCGGACCCTTTGCGTTTATGCGTGCCGTGACCTTATTTCATTTTTGGGACAGGGCCAGGGTAAAAGTCGATGGTTCAAGCCAAGATGATGGGCTTTGAAAATGGTTACGGGTCAAGCTCGTAAGTCAAGGTCAAATGTCCCAAAACTGACCTTGAAAAGTTTGAGTTCAGTTTTCTATAACATGACCTTGACCTACGAATTTGACCCAATTATCTTTTCTGAGGGACATTGTCTTTGATTTCACCTCAAGCATTAACTTTGATAATACAGTTAGAAATAGGGTCACGGCAAGCATAAACGAAAAGGGCCCGAGATTGATGGGAAGTTTGGACTCAAGGTCGAAGTCAAGGTCACGGATGGTTAAAGGTGACTAGTGGAGGTCACCACGAACTTTCACATTGACCACGCCCTTTGACGTTCTTTCGGACACGGGCCCCTCTGCGTTTGACCGTTTTCTGACCGAGCAGTGTGCGACAGGGCCAGGGTAAACGTCGATGGTTCAAGCCAAGATTATGGGCTTTGAAAATGGTTATGGGATCAAGGTCGTAAGTCAAGGTCAAATGTCCCAAAACTGACTTTGAAAAGTTTGAGTTCAGTTTTCTGTAACATGACCTTGACCTACGACTTTGACCCATTTATCTTTTCTGAAGGACGTTGTCTCTGCTTTCACCTCAAGCATTAACTTTGATAATACAGTAAGAAATAGGGTCACGGCAAGCATAAACGAAAAGGGCCCGAGATGGATGGGAAGTTTGGACTCAAGGTCGATGTCGAGGTCACGTATGGTTAAAGGTGACTAGTGGAGGTCACCACGAACTTTCACATTGACCACGCCCTTGACTTCCTTTCGGGCATGGGCCCCTCTGCGTTTGACCGTTTTCTGATCGAGCAGTGTGCGACAGGACCAAGGTAAACGCCCATGATTCAAGCCAAGTTGATAGCCTTCGAAAATGGTTACGAGGTCAAGGTCGTAAGTCAAGGTCAAATGTCCCAAAACTGACTTTGAAAGTTTGAGTTTAGTTTTCTGTAACATGACCTTGACCTACGACTTTGACCTTTTAACTTTTCTGAAGGACGTTGTCTCTGCTTTCACCTCAAGCATTAACTTTGATAATACAGTAAGAAATAGGGTCACGGCAAGCATAAACGAAAAGGGCCCGAGATGGATAGGAAGTTTGGACTCAAGGTCAAAGTCAAGGTCACAGATGGTTAAAGGTGACTAGTGGAGGTCACCACGACCTTTCACATTGACCACGCCCATTGACTTCCTTTCGGACACGGGCCCTTTGCGTTTGACCCTTTTCTGACCGAACAGTGTGCGACAGGACCAAAGTAAACGTCGATGGTTCAAGTCAAGGTGATAGCCTTCGAAAATGGTTACGAGGTCAAGGTCGTAAGTCAAGGTCAAATGTCCCAAAACTGACTTTGAAAAGTCCGAGTTTAGTTTTCTGTAAGATGACCTTGACCTACGACTTTGACCCAATTATCTTTTCTGGAGGACGTCGTCTCTGCTTTCACCTCGAACATTAACTTTGATAATACAGTTAAAAATAAGGCCACGGCAAGCATAAACGCAAAGGGCCCGAGATGGATGGGACGTTTGGACTCAAGGTCAGAGTCAAGGTTACGGATGGTTAACGGTGACTAGTGGAGGTCACCACGACCTTTCACATTGACCACGCCCATTGACTTCCTTTCGGACACGGACCCTCTGCGTTTGACCGTTTTCTGACCGAGCAGTGTGCGATAGGACCAAGGTAAACGTTCATGATTCAAGCCAATGTGATAGCCTTCGAAAATGGTAACGGGGTCAAGGTCGTAAGTCAAGGTCAAATGTCCCAAAAATGACTTTGAAAAGTTTGAGTTTAGTTTTCTGTAACATGACCTTGACCTACGACTTTAACCCAATTATCTTTTCTGAAGGACGTCATCTCTGCTTTCACCTCGAACATTAACTTTGATAATACAGTAGGAAATAAGGCCACGGCAAGCATAAACGCAAAGGCCCCGATATGGATGGGAAGTTTGGCCTCAAGGTCAAAATCAAGGTCACGGCAATATTCACACCTAAAGGCCAATCCACTGATCAACACCAAATAGTATTTTATAGAAAATGGTGGCTTCGCGCAAAAATTAAAGTATACGAAAATTATATTAATTTTTATGAACTGCAGTGTTAGGCAGCTAGTGCAGTGTGTCGGTTTCCGTCTAAGTGTCTTGTTATTCGAGTCGGTTTCCGTCTTAGTGTCTTGTTATTCAAGTCTAATTAGTAAACAAAGCAAATGGCGTCAAACGGATGAAGTTCTCTCTCGTTAGAAATTAAAAGGTCGGTAAAATAAAAAGTTATTTATCGATTCGGCTGAAATTTGGTGTGTGGTCATTGCTAGCCCCCCTTAACATCCTCTGAAAATTTCAAGTGCCTACGACCACGGGAACTGGTAGAGGTACGAAAGTGCAATAGCGCCGTTAATTCCTCGATCTCCCAATTTAACTTACATGCTGTATCAATTGTCGGATGGTGTTTTCTCGAGCTTGCTTTGCCTGAATACCCTGATGTATATAATTGCTAGGCACGAGCTTCTCACTCAATTTCAAGCTTTCTTCATTCATCGTTATTTCGGGCAGTAAAACAGTCAAATTTTTAATATCTTATAGATCTAATACTTTCACTTCCACTCGCTCTATTTTTAGCGGAAGTTACACATGTCATCAACACTTGATCATCAAGTCTCTTAATGGTTCCAAAAAATATATGGGTGCACTGATCTAAATATCCGAGACTATACCCAGATAGGCAATATTCGGGTTTTTGTTTCTAAACAACTGTTATATCGGACAGCGACTTATGGTCACGCACATATTAACCCTTTTACGATCAACATGATAATTTTTATTTGCTACACATGCATAACGATAATTTGCCTTAAAGTTTTGAAGACACTCTCCCATTTTAACAATATATTCATGACTTGGTGCTATATGATGTGTAACACACACAACTCTTTATTCCATTCGTCTGATTTGGAAAATGGCCGATTCAGACCAGATTCTTGGCTGATTCAGACCAAATTCGGACCATGATCCGGCTCATCTGGTATCGTGGCCCGAATAAGCTTTAGATTTTGGTCCGAATCAGCTTGGTTTCTCTCTGTCCAGCCAAGATCATGTCAATGAAATAAAGACAAAGTTTATTTGAACACAGTCTGACTGTTGGGTGACCATTCTTGTTAGATTTTTTTAAAATGACTAGGCGGGTGACTATAGCAGATTCTGTACTCAAATTATATAATTTGTTGAAGCAACCAGATCAACTGTGCATGTAACCTGTCAACAAACTATAATTAACAGCCAATTTGCTCTCTTGAAATTTGTTTGGTCATCCGCTGAATTTTAAATTCTAAAATTCAGTGTATAACAACTTAATAGCCTATGTCAATAATAACAAGAAACTGAAGAGAAGAAAACTTTCCATGGTTCCGACTGGTGAATCATCAACAGAATTCAAATTTATCCACGAGAGAAAAAATAAGCTTATTTTCCCAATATAAGAATTAATAAAAAAATCTACAGAATTCTACAGTACCCATTCCTACAGAAAACCGTAGTGACCCAATTTCCAAACAACAGAATACTAGGCCTACAATATTCCTTCCTATACATAACTAGAATTTCCTACAGAAAGTGCAATAAAAAAAGCTATAGAAATTTTCCGATAAATCTGTAGGAAAAACTATAGGATATGCACTAGAGAAACTGTAGAATATTTGGGGTCGTTATTTCCTACAGCCCCCCAAATTCTGTAGAATACTATAGAATCTTATCCTATAGAAAATGGGACACAGCCCACACAAAACTCTATAGAACTACACTGGTATTCTATGGGACTTTTTGCAAAGAGTTGGACTGAAATAAACTTTAATGGCACCTTCTGAAATTGTCACAGCTATATTGTGTTGTTAGCCTACAAGTTGAACTAGGCCATCTACATACCTTAGTATAGGCATCAACCAATAAATCAATGTCAAGAAGACTTACTTAATCCAAATTTTGTTTCCTTAATTGTGGAGGGCAGAATACAGAAACAAAGATGAAACATTGCCCAGAAATGAACAGTATTTGTATTCCATTGAATCGTGTCCAGTGTATATAGAAAACACTATGTGAACTTCCTAACTAAATCAGAATGGTATAATTTTTTGTCATTAGATTTGTTTATAACTGAATTATTGATACTGGTACACCAGCTATCTTCTTTCTTAATTTTTGGGGCCTATAACATCAGTCATACTGTTGTTTTGTGTGCATTTTATCAGGTATTATTCCTGCATTGCTGCTGGAAGCATGTACGTCCTTGTTTGGTTATATTTTGTGTTATATTGTTTACTTTGATTTTGAAATGTAAATTAAACACATAATTGACCCCCCCTCCAAAAAATAAATAAATCTCATGAGTATAAAAATATAATATTTATTATATTTCCATACATTGACCACACAATGTCATAAATACATTTCAACAATTGTATATCAATATTATTATTACAGCATATTTATAGTGCACCTTTTCATATAACATGTTCAGGAGCACTTTACAAAGTGACAAAGTAGTAATTTCACCAAGGTAAGTTAAATTAGAAACATAATCGATCAAAACATTGTCCTATTTCTTGCTGTACTTCCGTTAAAAAGAAATAAGACTAAATTTGTAATCTAGATAAAGTTGATTAAATATATGTACATAAAAGCTATCTATCCAGTGACTTAAAAACATATTTAAGTCGAAACTACCATATATACATTTCACATACAAAATGATTGTTTTCTTTTGGATTTGAGTGGAGAAGAATTTTTGTGGGATTTTAGGTTCAGAGTCTGAGATAAATTTAATAAATAAGCTTTTCTTACAGTCAGGTTTTATATCAATGACCTCCATCATGTACAGATACAAAGGCACATAACATACAGTACAGCTACTGTCAGATTATAAATCATTGATTACCACTACTCAGATATCAATTTCACAATATCAGTGAGCCTTCAATACTAAACAAACAATTAATCTGGTAATATTTAAAACATCATACATGTACATTGTACTTGGTTTGATACAGGTACTTTAATCATGATGATACTTTATTAAAACAAAATATATAACAAAAGAGTACATTTTCACATTGCATTACCACATATTTTCTGCTTGCAAACTCCGTGGCACTTTTTGAAATGAGAACTTTCTAGCACATTTTATTTAGTTAAACAGGCATTATTCAAGAGCTAAAAAATTTAAATACGATTTGCGGATGATGATTTAACATAAAAATGGATAACCAAGACTTTATTATCAAAACATTGGTAGCAATGGCAATCAAGGCTACACTGTAATTGTATCGAAGTAATTTGACTGAAATTTTCAACACATTCCCTTTTCATTATCAATTTTTTTTAACTATTATAGCAAGAACTTCCAGTTTTTCTTTATCTAATCTTAATAATGCCCCATTAACATTGTGTATTCTCACGAAGGCGCAGTTACAGAGCGTGACCAAAATTAATCCTTCCCGTGAAAGCGCAAATATCGACTTGTCGGCTTTCGTTTGAAGAGAGGCATGTTGCTTTTAGGACCCAATTAACGGTGTTAAAGATTTTATGAATTTATGTTCACTCTGAACCAACAACACTCTGGAAAGATGGCATGCAAGAATCGAGAAGCTCGTTGGAAAAGCCCATCCGAATGGTTTTGAAATGATCACATTTTTACAACAAGAACAAAATATTAACCACCAAGGAAGAGATATAAATATGCTCAAATCCAAAGCCAGCTCAAGGAATTAAAAGGAAGACATGAGGAAGAGGAATTGACTTTAGTCGAGTATTTAGACAAGGTTTCTTATCTGGCGAAATTTTTGTTATAGTGTAGTTATGTTTTCATTTCTTATGCCAAAAATGATGCTAAAATGTTGGTTAATTAGTTACACTGGGGATTATGAAAGTGTAAATTCTTATCATAACGATCTATAACACCATTGTTACGATTTTAATCCATTTTAATTCCTAGGTGCTGGATTCCCACGAAGTCGTCGAAAACGACCTAGTTTAATCCTTTACGGTCAATAACTGCGCCTTCGTTGGAATAAACCCCATTAACATACCAATTTTAAATTGCAGTCTAAAAAAAGTTGGTTATAAATTGGTTTTCAATTGTAAGATAGATACTACATTGTTAAGAAAGCAGGCAATACAGGAAATTATTTGAGACATGTAAATGAAAGGCAGTATATTAAAGGACAACAGAAACCCTTACCATTTGTTTATATTTTTGTATTTATTATCTAATATTAAAACAGTTTCAAAAATGCACACCCCAAAATACAAATGCTTTTCGGCTTTCAAACAGCAAATTAAGATGCCTGTTGTGTTGTTATTATTAGGGTAACTATAACCAAAGGACTGCATGAGCTATTCGACTACTTTCTTATTGTTTTGAACTATACAATAGCACAAGCAATTGTATTATTGATAAATAGTGACTGACAATTAGCCTCAGGATGTCAAAGCCAGAAAACCTAATCTGTATTTTGGTTTGTGCATTTTAGAAGCTATCTTAATATTAGATAGATAATGAATAATGGCTGGAGTTTTCCTTTAAAGAAGATTTTAGTTTGGGAAACTAAATCTCAGATTCTATATTTACAAAATACTTAATTATTATTATTATCATTATTATTACAAAACATTTAAATAGCACTGTCTTCATCAAGTAAATGTTAACAAAATATCTCAAAACAAAATATCTCAATGATAAAATTACTGGTTATTAAAATAAATCATTTTTAAAGATCAACACAAACCAAATAAAAACACAACATAGTAAATACCCCATCACTAATCGAAATGATACACCAGAAAAATGCAATTCAATACATTATTTTTATCTTTAGCTCCTTCTGTACATTAAAATATTAAATATTTCTGCCACTAGAGATGTGAAGAATCTAGAGGACTGCATCTCAGAAATCATCACAAACTATGAGAAACATAGACAAAACCCTGACATTGTTAGACATTGCATTAAACCAAGATGATACATCTTGTGCTGGTCTACTCTCTATGTGCTCTTGGCAGTTTCAATATTTGATTTCAATATTCTTTTACATTTAAAATTGTACCCTTCACACAATTTTTAATGGTAATCGGTGTGAACCTATTTCAATATCGTGATGTTTATCGTGATGTTTATCGCGATGATTAGAATATGGTTGATGAGAATTAATGTGGCTTAATGGAGGGTAAAACTGGAAATATGTGAAATATGCCACAACAAATCCTAGAATCAGACCAACTGATACATCTGAAAAATAAAATAAAATTCAAATCTTATAAAAGTTGAATCTATCAAAATAAAATAAATAATGCTAGTTTATACACAGATTGGACACAAGTAATGTTGGCAAAAAAAATCTTGGGTGTTTCACATTACTATTAATCTTAAAGGGGCTAAATAAAGAGCTCACAGTTCTTGCTATAATAGTTAACAAGCAGTTGCCATGCTAGATACGTCCACATTTTGCAAGAGATGGATAGAGAAAAAGCTAAAAGCAAAAGCGATTTTTTGTACAACGAGGCGCCACAATCCAGAAAGTTATGGTCTGAAATGTGCAAATATCAAAAGGGACTGAGATCTTTGGGATATAAAGATATGTTTTAAGTTTCATCAAAACTGGATAAAAATTGTAACCTCTAGAGGCCTCACAACCTTTGTATTACATACTTTTACACAATTTGCGTACAAAGAGCAACCATTTTGTCAGACAGTTTCATTTTGATTTTCACGAAATTCGAATTCAACCTTCATTATGGTGGAATGGTGATATATTTAAACAGTTTTTAAAATTGGAAAAAAAAATTGTGACCTCTAGAGAATCCACAAGCTAAAAATGCGATTTTTAGAACAATCAGGGGCCATAATCCAGGAAGTTACGTTCGGATATGCGCGATTATCAAAGGACACCAAAATCTTAGTGTGTAACGGTGATATATTCACATGTTGTGACCTCTACAGGGACCACAAGCTAAAAACACAATTTTTCGTACAATCAAGGGCCATAATTCAGGAAGTTACAATCCGATATGCGCAAATATCGAAAGGAACCAAGATCTTTGGGTTATAAACATGTATTTCAAGTTTCATTAAAATCGGATCAAAATTGTGACCTCTTAGAGGTTCCAAAACCTTGATATACCAGATGTTTACACTATTTGCGTACGAGGGGTGGCCTCTTTGTACTCATACTCAACCAACATTATGGTGTAACGGTAATATATTCCAACTGTTTTTCAAATCAGATAATAATATTGTGACCTCTAGAGGGACCACAAGATAAAAATGCGACTTTACGTTCAATCAGGTGCCATAATCCAGGAAGTTACATTCGGATATGCGCCATTATAGAAAGGATCCAAGATCTTTGTGATATAAACATAAATTTTAAGTTTCATCAAAATTAGATAAAAATTGTGGCCTCTAGAGGATCCACAACCTTGATATACCATATATTTTACACTATTTGAGTACGAGGGGCAGTTTTGGTCCGATTTTCACGAAATTCAAACTCAACTGTCATCAGGGTGTAACGGTGATATTTTCACATGTTTTTTTTTTAAATCGAATAAAAATTGTGACCTCCAGAGGGACCACAAGCTAAAAACGTGATTTTTCGTACAATCAAGGGCCATAATTCAGAAAGTTACAATCTGATTTGCGTGAATATCGAAAGAAACCAAGATCTTTGGGTTATAAACATACATTTAAAGTTTCATCAAAATCAGATAAAAATAGTGACCTCTAGAGTGTCCACAAGATAAAACCGTGATTTTTCATACAATCAGGGGCCATAATCCATGAAGTTATGGTCCGATACATTCCAATATCGAAAGGAACCCAGATCTTTAGGAGATAGACCTATATTTCAAGTTTCGTCAAAATCGGATAAAAATTGTGAGCTGTTGTTGATGGGCAGACGGACAGGGGTGATGACAATATATGTCCACATGAAAATGCGCGAATTCGAAAGGAAACAAGATATTGGGTTATAAACATGCATTTCAAGTTTCATCAAAATTATGACCTGTAGAGTGTCCAAAAACAAATTGTGGACGGACGGACAGGGACGACAACAAGATACGTCCACATGAAAATGTGGGCATATAAAAATAGATAATGAAAACGGAATTACTTCACTTTAAGCGGAGTTATCGCTGTTACAAGTGTAGCCTCGATTGTCATTGCTACTGTACGTGCGTTACAGCAATAAACAAAGTCTCAATTATCTATTTTTGCATTAACAGCAAATCGTATTTCAATCTGTTGAAAATTGAGAGTATCTGATGGCATCGAGAATTGATTATGGTCTTGGTAAGTTAATTAAGGTCTAATTAATAATTTATATAACATTTAAGGTATAAAGAATGATCTGTAATAGGCAGATTTAGCTCTTGAATAAATTAAGAGACTTGAGATAGGGTATTCACCATCTAGATTTTGATACAACTGGTGAAAGCCTGATACCCACCTTGCCAGTGATGATGATAATCGGCAGTCCTAGATATTGCAATCATTGTTGGCCATAAAAAAAGGGCCACAACAGCCAACATGTGCCATGCTGAACCTTGGCCTTTGGTACTAAAAACTCGAAGTTTTCCAGCAATATAAAAACCCAAATAACCTAAATTTGACATTGAATCTGAAAGATAAAATAGGTTAACAGGCAATGAAACATTTCAAAACAGCAGCTTTGCCTATACATGTATATGCCATTACGATTTTGTAAGAAAGATCTTGAAATGATCATTTAAATTAAATAGGCTTCTATATTGAACAAATAATAGATGAACAGAAGGACAGGCCAAAATAAAATGTGGGCACATAAAAACTCTTTATAAGGCCTGCTTTATTTGTTACATTTAAAGAAGCTAAATCTTGTCACGTACTACCGGGGAATCGAAACCACACCAGTTGACTCAATGACAGGCCTTAGGACATAATGCACTAACCATTCGGCCATCCACCCCACCCCAGGAAAGTTTGAATAACTACATGTATATATGAATTTAAGGATACATTGGGATTTGTAAAAGATAGCTTGCCAGGCAATGAAACATAGGCCTGTGTATCTAGATTGCCCAAGATGTCCATAAAGAATGTTATTCTGTGAATCGTTAAGTAAATATACAAAGCAAACTTTTTATCATTGACAAGATCCTATGAAGACATAATCAAGGGCAACACCTAAACAAGCAATTATCAGAAATTGCTGTAATCGTTATTCATGTTAATAATCAAAATAAAGAACATGAATCAAACAACAATTTTCTATTTTAAAGTGAAGAATGGCCCAATCTTCTAGAAGTAATTAACATAATTTCAATGAGCTTCTTAATTTCATTATTTTGAGCAATCCAAATTAGAGTGTTCATAACATTTTACACAGTAAACAATAACTCTGAATGTACCGTAGTTGACAAGGAAATTGTTGAAATTCAATAGGCTCATTTCATTGATATCAAGAAGCAGATCTGATGATAACTTTTGTTGTCAGAGCATTCATCACTCTCTAGTTATCTTGTCCCAAAGCATCAACCAATGAAATTTCTTAGTTGTTAATCATAGAACTCAGTCAAGACATTCACCTAATGAACATCTACATCAAGTTTAAACATTCTACCTCAAGTAAAAGCAGAGTTGTTATGATCCAAAGTCTTGACCAATCAAATTGCTTTTCGCTCCTTAGCCAAGGTAATGATATAATGAATCTATACTCGGAGTTTCATCACTCTCACTTAATCAAAACCAAAGTTATCATGCCCCAAAGCATCAACCAATCAGATTGCTTATCTCTGCTTACCGTAAGCAGACAATGTTTATCAACGAATTCCACCAAGGCATTCACCTAATGAACACCTACATCAAGTTTGAACATTCTATCTCAATTAGAAGGAGAGTTATTATGATCCAAAGTCTCAACCAATCAAAATTGCTTATTGCTCCGCTTACCCTGAGCAGAAAATGCTCATTATCGAACTTAGTCAAGGTATTGATGTAATAAAACTATACATCTAATTTCATAACTCTCACTTAATTAGAACTAATGTTATCATGTCCCTAAGCACAAAATTCTCATCTTCAAACTCCATCAAGACATTCACCTAATAAACACCTACCGCCAAGTGTGAACATTCTAGCTCAATTAGAATGAGAGTTAAATATTGTGTTCCAAAGTCTCAACCAATTAAATTGCTTATTGCTCTGCTTACCCTGAGCAGAAAATGCTCATTATCGAACTTAGTCAAGGTATTGATGTAATAAAACTATACATCAAATTTCATTACTCTCACCTAATTAGAACTAAAGTTATTGTGTTCCAAAGCATCAACCAATCAAATTGCATTGACCTAATAAACACCCACACCAAGTTTGAACATTCTAGCTCAATTAGAAGGAGAGTTAAATATCGTTTTCCAAAAAGTGTGATGGACAGACAGACCGACGGAGACAGACAGACAGAATGAACCCATTTTAATAGTCCCCTGCTTTCTTCGAAAGGCGGGGGACTAACAAGATCATACTTTAACTTTTCTCGTTCATAATAAAGTGTTCAAGGACAATAACAGATGGAAACATCAAAATTGTTGAAATTCAATAGGCTTGGTGGTCTCACTAATGTAAATAATCCATACATAAATCATAAAAAGATCTGATGATAAAAATTGTCTGCAATATACACAAGAAATTGTGGAGGGTTGACAGACAGGACAACAGCGATATACAACCACATATACAAAAAGAACAAGAAATGTCAATCACTTCAGGACAGTGCAGTGGCTAGGTTCTCTGGACTGGCTGACTCGTAACAACTAGGGGGTACATATGGATGTCATGTGTAGGGCATTAAGTAGTCCCATAGTCTCAAAATGAACAAAGTTTTGTACTTAACCCCATGTCTGTGGCCTTGCGAAAGGTTTCTATTACATCATAGTTCATTACCCTGACCAATGACTACACAATGGCTGAAGACAGACTTGAACAGAAAAGATAACTGAGATCAACAATAAATTTGAAAGGGAACAAAATAATTATTAAATTGGCTTTAGACTGACAAAGAACAAATTAAACTATACTTGATACGTACGTGAAGAATGACCACTCGGAAAACTTTTTAAACCTCCATTAATAACGTTTTTTTTCCCGGTACAATCAGATATATTTATAAACAGATTACTTAATTTCTTCATTTCTTTATGTGGGAAACATCTCTGTAGAAAATCTGGGCGAGGTCTAAAATATACAATTCAAATATTTGTGAAGTGTCCTAGCTCTGGTGACAACATTTGTAATTTCAGCCAGCAGACGAGGGACTATATCTATGATGTTTTTCCACCAAATAATGAAGGCGAGGCAAATTACGTGTATACAGCCTTAAAGATTGTTGATGATGAAATTTTTGCTACATATGTCTTACTGGATGACAGACCCTTGATCTTTGTATATTAATTTTACCTATTAGGAACTACATGTATACGACAGTTCCCCCAATTGACAAATTGGGCTTAAGATAGAAATAACATAAGTAGTGACTGACCTGCCTACAGCTAATTTAATACAATTTGTTACAACACCACACAACCCAAATGCCAACATGGCACCTGAAAAAACAAACCCTACATATAATATACGCATCCTAAGAATCTAGCCTAAAAGTAAGGTTGCCCAATATTTTCGAGTTCGTCCACTGTTTTAGATGTAATCATTAAATGACAAGATACGTCCACATTTTGTAAGAGAAGGATAGAAAATAAGCTAAAAAAACAACCTGATTTTTCGTAGAATCAGGGGGCATAATCCAGTAAGTAAAGATCTAAAATGTGCGAACATCAAAAGGAACTGAGATGTTTGGGATATAAACATATATTTTAAGTTTCATCAAAATCGGACAAAAATTGTGACCTCTAGAGGATCCACAACCTTCGTATTACATACTTTTACATTATTTGCGTACAAGGACAAAGAGCGGCATTTTGTCAGGCAGTTTCTGTCTGATTTTTATGAAATTCAAACTCAACCTTCTTTACGGTGCAACGGTGATATATTAAAACAGTTTTAAAAATCTGATAGAAATTGTGACCTCTAGAAGGTCCACACGCTAAAATTGTGATTTTTCGTACAATCAGGGGCCATAATCCACAAAGTTATGGTCTATGTGCGCGAATATCGAAAGGAACTGAGATCTTAGGGATATAAACATTTGTTGTAAGGTTCATCAAAATCGGATAAAAATTGTGATCTTTAGAGGGTCCACAACCTTGGTATTACATACTTTTACACTATTTGTGTTCAAGGAGCGACCATTTGGTTGGGCGGTTTCGGTCTGATTTTTACGAAATCATTATAGTGTAACGGTGATATATTCAAACATTTTTTAAATTGTGACCTCTATAGGAACCACTAGCTAAAAACGCGATTTTTTGTACAATCAGGGACCATAATCCAGGAAGTTACGGTCCAATCCCTTCATACAGGCATCTAGGACAGCACAGTGGGAACACACGGAAGACCCATCCATTGCCATAGACCTTACCGTGGACCGATCCTCACCCCTTGCCATCGATGTGAACGTCTACAGTTTGCCCAACAACACCAGAACTGGCGACACAGGCAATGGAGAACTGATCTGTTCACAGATGAGAGTCAGTATTGCGTATCAACTGTAGATGGCAGGACCAGAAAATGGCGTTGACGTCGCCAGCGTTATTCTGACCAATGTGTCATGGAACAAGACTTGTGGGGAGGTCCAAGCATAATAGTTTGGGGTGGAGTTTTCCTGAACCAGAGAGTGGGTCCTGTGGTGTGCCAAAATCCTGGTCCAGGGAGAGAAGGCGGCATCACAGCAGTGCACTACTTTGATCTAGCCCTCAGACCTCACGTCATATCACAGCAGAACAGTGTCAACGTTATGCACTGGCCAGCCCTTTGTCAGGACTTAAACCCAATTGAACATCTTTGGGATGAAATTCAGAGGAGACTTAATAATAACATCATACCGAGACCGAACACAGCCGATGGATTGCACAAGGCTTTTCTGAGAGTGTGGTTCCAGGTGCCAATGGCGTTCATCAATCGTCTGGTCCACTCCACGTACAGACGCTGCACTGCTGTTATTGACACTTGCGGTGGACACACCAGATACTGATGTATAGAATATGTACAGACTCTAAACATTCTCGTAATGTCTTGGAATTGTGATGAATTAATCACTTACTTGTCAACATAATGTTCACAAGAAATTGCTTTGATCCATTAAGTAAGTCGTTTTCTAGAATGATTTGATTAAAGTGCCTCTCTGATTTTAAAATCGTACTGACGTTTTTTTTGCATTATATTTCTGCTTTATTAAAAAAAATTTCAATCAGAAAATCAATGATTCCTTTGGAAAATGAAAATATTGGTATAAAAAATTTGTCAAGATGCATATAAATTCATCACCAAGCAATAAAATATCGTAAATATTTATGCTAAATATCATTCAGAAAATCAAAACTGCGATATATCACAGTATGTTCGTTTTTTCTATATTTTTCTGCAGACAGTATTTTTGACGATTGTTCTTTCATCATGCCTAATAAAAATGTGAGTCAATGTAAATGAATTCCTGTCTTATAATACAATATCTAAAATTAGATGTCAGTTAAGTACTTCAAGTTTTATAATAGGCTAATTATGGAATAATTCTAAAGCCTACCAGTAACCTTTGATTATTTGCATAATAATGTCATGCTGGTATTTCCAGTTGGAACATAGGTTGTGGTGATGACAATATATTCAACAAATTCATACCTAATGCTGCATGAATAAAATCTTCTAAATCTTTTCTTAAAAAATAAAATCCACCAATAACTACCACCGACATTCCAACAACTGTCATCTGTAAAAAAGTAAAAATATATCTCTTGTAAACTCTGAATTCTAAATAATACTTTATGTATTATATAACTACAGCTAGCTGTAGCACTGCTGCTATGAATATATATATATATCTACAGTGCTAAACACTTATTAGAGTTGAGAATATCATGCAGGGAGGATCAACAAAGTTATTTACCCATAAGTATTTAGTAGGATAATAATTGTGACTTTTAGGAAATCGATATAACCATAATTCCTCTGGTTGTAGTTTTCGATGAAATGGCTCCATATCATCAGTCCATCTTAAAAAAAAATTAACAATAATAATAGTTACCAATAAATAAGAATCTGGGTAATAACTTGGAGTTTTAGGAAAATCATATAACCATAATTCTTCTGGTTGTAATTGACGATGAAATGGTTTAAGATTGTCAGTCCATCTTAAAATAATTTTTAAAAAAATGAAATAAATTAACATAAAACACACAATAAAAAACACTTTAGTAGTTATATAGAGATAGACAAAGCAGGAGAACTGTGCAACCATACATAAACAGAACATGCTACCAGTACCATGAAATTCTCTGTTAATTTAATTTTAGGTTTTAATTAATAAGCATATATCCTAGTTTAATGTTACAGAAAGTTTATAACTTCTATTGGATGGTGTTAAAAATAGAAGTCCTTATACGATCCTATTTAAAAAAAAACCATATCAATTTTGTATGTTTTCCCTTTTTTCTTGTCTTAAAAAGAATAAATATAATTATTCAAAGACCTGTTATTTTATCACTAATAGCTACTTTAATGTGATGAAATTAAAGACAAAAGCACATGGTTTTGGTTTTTACTCTGTGTACTCAACAAACGGCACAACAAAATTAGCAATATGTTTTGTCCCATCTGTCAAAATTTGGAGGAATTTTTCTTTTAAAAGGTATTTTTGATAAATATAAAAATAAATTATAATATTAAAATCTTCTATACAAGCTATAAGTAAATATATGGTTGTAACTTTCTTGATTTTGTTTAACAAAATATAAACTGGAGATTTAATGGTGTCCTATCCGTCAAGAGTTTTTGTCCCATCCACCACAATGAAATGAGTGCAGGCTTTATGTAACATTTTATTACAATAGGCCTATTAATTGTATATTAATAGGAAAGTCCTAGAATGCTGAAAATTGGCATGGTTCACCCTCCCTAATCTTAATGCTTCACATCACATCAAATTTGAAAATTAATGTCAGTCATAAAGCTTCACACCAAATTTGATAAAAATCCATTTAAAACTGTAGTCTGTATCACTACAAGGCTGTATAATGCTGGAAATCGAAAAGATTAATCCTTGCATAACCCCAAAAGATTGAAAAAGAAAAATGAATGAAGAAATTCATAAACAATAATTACAGAAATAATGCAATCAAGATGAGTCTTAAAATAACCTCCATCAGCAGACGGCGTGGGTTCTCTGATAATTTCAAATGCTGACCTGAAGAAGAGAAACATAAACATTCTAAATCACGCCAGACATAAATGTAGGTCAATTCCAATAGATGTTACTCTTTTTCTGTAGTTTCATCAAAGGTCTACTCAGTCTTTCACTGGCCAGGATTTTCATGTGTAATTAAATGGGGTTTAACAATCCTACTTTTCTGCACCGACTGGGATAATGAAGCAAGTTTTTTGGAAAATTTTGCCTGGACAACAGCGCTACGGCCTACTCTTATATCGAATTCCAACTGTCAATGGTTCTTTTACGTGAACGCCAAAGTGTAGGCTACATAAAGACTTTGGATCCTTGACCTTGTCCTGAAGACCCTCTGAATTACACCAGCAACAAACGGAAACCATGCTGGAAAATCCCAGAGAACTTTTCTGCCAATATCGGGATCGAACCCCTGAACTCCTGGTTAGCAAGCCAGGACCTTATTAGGCCTACTCACCAACCTACCTCGGCTCCCATTGTAGGCTTTGATATGCCCGACTGTTATAATTTTCATGAAGACCAGTTGGGTTTCATATTGACATATCATTGTGGTAAGGCTTCACCTTCATTTCAATGAGAATTGGTTTATTATATGTTAAGCTATGTGCAGTACAGTTTTGGGTCAGTTTATGTGTAAATTAAGGGAGCTATAGGCCAGTAACCTTTTTGTAGTCATTTGACTAAAAAAACTTGCGCAATTAAAGGAAATACGTAGGATGAGCCACTACTGTGGCTGGAGTAAGGCAGAAGACATCAGTAGTGGAACCATTTCTAGGGAACTGGTGGTAGAGTAGTTCAGCTCTGAACGTAGGTCTCATTAAACATTAATACACTCGGCCGAGTGTAATGAGACCTACGTTCAGAGCTGAACTACTCAGACTACTGGTCTATTTAGGTGCGAAAGTGCTAGCACCTTTATTTTATACCAATTGTCACTGCAGTGCATCCTTTTCTTTTTTATTTGTTGTGCTATACTCTTTTGTAGCGGTATTATACTTTTCATGAAGGGAAGGACGGTAGAAAGGCTTCTGCAGCTTAATCCTTACCCTTTGGCTTTACATTTATTTGCCGGCAATAGAATATTATTATATGATGAGGATTCAATATAGAAATATAAATACGGCTATCAAAATTTAATTGTACAACAAAACACACGTTTTGAACTGAACAAATGGTTTTGCTGTTAAAAAAACACCTACTCATTTTCTTCAACTTTTTAGGCCTACTAGTACTACAGAAAACATGAAACTACTGATCACAATATCATATCACAAAAGTCTTTTTTCAATTACCCCGATGTACCACCAGGATGCACAATACTGGATCTTCAATGACTGAGTCACGTTCTATTTTTCACTCGGCAACCCGGCATATCTCTGCAGATTTCACTCGGCCAACTTCGGTTACTCCTCTACACCAAACCATGTTTCCAAACAGAGTTATCTTTCCGTGACACTAGGATTTCCAGTCAATAAACTCAGTCGATGGTTGGTTAAAATTTGGGAATAGTGATGTGGTGATCTGAAACGCACGTTCATAGCCCGATCCACGTTCTCAGTTTAAAGGACTTAGTTTTTTTTATTGTTTTCCGTTAGTAATTAGTAATTATTTAACTGAATTGTACATTTTTAAGAACTCTGATTTTGTTATAATGTAGCCCATATTTTCATTCATATTTATATTGTAAATGTATTTTCGTATATCCGACTTTACACGCGCTATCGTTGTCTCATCGACTGCAGGATCACAGAGTGAGGAAAAAGAAAAGAACGATACGCTCATGTACGAAATAGCAAACGATACGTCCAAGAAAGAAATGGCTGAGTTTCGTGACCATACCAGAAGGGCTACTAACCTGGTAGTATTCAGACTCGAAGGAGATGCATCCAAGGGGAAGGATCATGGTCAAATGAAAGATGAGGAATCAGTACATATAAGATACTCAGAGAGATGAAGGGGAAACATGAACCAACAGAGATTCGTCGCTTGGGAAAACTCTATTGTAGTAAAGAGAAGGATGGGGCAGAACAAGAGGAGATTGACACTGGTACTACCAAGAAGAACCGGCCCCTTCGACTGACCTTTGCCTCTGAGAACGCTCGTGATGAAATCCAGAGAACATTTCACAAAGCGCGGAAACGGGTACAGTCGGAAGAAGAGGGCCACAGGACCATCAGCAAAATCACGTTGAAAAAAGATCTGACCCCAAAGGAGAGAGAAGAGGAAGATGAACTTTTCCAGGAGCTTAAGCGAAAGAGAGACGCATCAAAAAACTCGGGGGACAAAAATCTCTTTAGGATGGACAAGTGCCGCAGGATTGGAGAAAAGCAATCGTTGCGCCTATCTTCAAAAAGGGAAGTCGACTACAACCATATAACTACAGACCGGTTAGCCTCACATGCATACTCTGTAAGGTGATGGAAAAACTCATCAGAGAAAAGGTCATCGCACATCTGGAAAAACATCGACATATCAGCAAGCAGCAACACGGCTTGAGAAAAGGTCATCGCACATCTGGAAGAACATCGACTTATCAGCAAGCAGCAACACGGCTTCGTGAATGGAAGATCGTGCATCACGCAACTGCTGGATGTCATGGATGTCTGGACCGAAATTCTCGACGCAGGAAGAAGTGTCGACATCATACACATGGACTTCATGAAAGCATTTGATTCTGTGCCTCACCGGCGCCTGATGTCGAATCTTTCAGCGTATGGCATCCAGGGCAAGGTTTTCGATTGGATCCAGGCATTCTTGACGAATAGGCAGCAGAGTGTAGTGGTGAATGGAGCAGAATCACAACCAGCACCAGTGACGAGCGGGATTCCACAATGAAGTGTCGTTGGACCAATGCTATTTGTCATCTAGATCAACGACCTGCCAAACATCTGCGCTAATGAAGTGAAACTGTTTGCAGATGACACAACGTTATTCACCCGCCGTGACGTCCCAGGAGCCACGACTATCTTGCAAGCTGACATCGACAAGCTCCAGCAGTGATCGCAGGATTGGCTACTCCGCTTCCATCCGCATAAGTGCAGCGTCCCGAAACTCGGCAGTAAAAGATCCGACGCAGTATTCACCATGCAAGATGGAACACTGGGCACAATAACGTTGGAGGAACACGAGCATGAAAAAGATCTTGGCATTTATGTTGACAACAAGCTATCCTCCAAAGAACACGTAGCAAAAAGTTCAGCAAAAGTCAATAGAGTTGTTGGCATTATTCGACGCACCTTTGACTTTCTCAGCAACGACCTATTTGTACACCTGTACAAGAGCCTTGTGCGCCCGATCCTAGAATACGGACACTCGGTGTGGCAGCCGCACCACAAAACCCTCTGTAATGATGTGGAAGACGTACAACGACGAGCAACCATGCTGTTGGCAACACTGAGAGACAAACCAGTTCCCCGATAGACTGGCGACTCTAAGACTACCCACTCTGGAGCATCGCAGAAACAGATGCGATATGACCGACCTGTACAAGTATATCCATGGGATCTACGTTTCAGATCGACCTAAATTTGAGATCACTAGTGGCCGCGCAACAAGGGGGAACAGTCTTAAGATCAACAAACATCGCTGTAGGCTAGACGTTCGCAGCGGAACATTCTCTCAGAGAGTGGTCAGCATGTGGAATGACCTCCCGGAGGCCGTGGTGAGAGCACCATCTGTGAACAGCTTCAAAAGCAGACTCGATGGTCATTGGAAAGAACTGGCAAGTGTCTACAACCCAACCTGCCAGTCCTAAATTATGTAAACATGTAGTTTTTAACTATTGTCACACGTATCAGTGCCACACATGCCACACCAACAGAATGCAAGTTTAGTTAACTGGAGTGACGAACAAGCCATTTAAGGCTTCAAACATCTAATACGTCAAGGTCAAGGTCAGGTCATTGTCTTTGGACGTGCTTATGATTGGCATGAACAGTAGGTGTGTCTTATATCACGTGGTTACGTCACGTGATCTTGGGTACATAGAACCTTGTCTTGCCCAGTAGCAGTGGAGTTGAGTCGTGTAAGACAGAGACCATTTCTCCAGTCGACTTCACTGACGAGTTTGATCCCGACTTATAGGGAGCGACACAGTGAGCCATTTTAGGAGGGTTATAGAGAGCCCTTTTAAGAGCGTTATAGAGAGAGCCCTTTTAGGAGCGTTATATGAATGCTCGTTAAGGAGCGTTATAGACAGCCCTTTTGTAGGAGCGTTAAGATTATCGAGCTCTGAGGCGAGAACCATTTTGAGAGCTCCTTTAGGAGCCTTAAATTATAGACAGCCCGATAAGGAGCGTTACAGAGAGCCCTTTTGTATGAGCGTTAAGATTATCGAACTCTGAGGAGAGAGCCATTTTGAGAGCCGCAGCTAGGAGCGCGATTCGAGAGCCCGACAAGCGTACGACGGAGAGAGCCTTTGCATAGGCTACTTAGAGTACAATAAAGAGAGTTGCTGATTAATCTGGTGTTAGTCTTTCTGAGCCAGCTGCTTGGTAGGCTACTCCCACACCTCTACAGTAGTGAACCCTCAACGGAACTAACGGATAGAGCCGGGCCCCACTCTACCACAGTAATCCGCTCACTACAATAGTTTGTTTGACTTAGATAAAAAAAACCAAAAAAAACGCATTTATTCAAATATCATTTATCATCGTTTTGTCTATTTTGTTTATTTTCCCTCAAGTTCAAATCTAACACTTGAAATCAAAACTTTATTACGATTTTCCTTTAATAGCAATCCCTAAAACAACTTGTTGACCTCATGTTCTCATGACCCGGATTCGGAACAAACTTGTTGGGTTTATTAATCAAAGGGTGCGTGCAGGCTGTATCAAAACCACCTAAATATCAATACCAGAAAATAGGGATAGGGCAGACTCACTGTACATACATATTCTTTTAAACTAGCTTTGGTGGCTCGACGATGTTTATATCTTCACATTGAAAGATAACTAAGTATTAACATGCTAAAGTTCATAAACTTTCTATGTTGCATTATCGAGTTATCACACCTCAAAGTGTACAGCATCCGGATTCGAGGCGAAGTTTGTGGTTTCAGTAAACAAAGGTACGTCCAAGCTAAATCAAAAAGAACCTAAAAGGTATTTAACAGTAGGAGGAAACCGGAGGACCCGGAGAAAACCCATGAGGTTGGAAAGGCGACCTACCCCGTCATGTACAAGCGAGGAATTGATACCGCGCCAGTTGACTCAATGACCGACCTTATGATCAAATGCGAACGCATTAACTATTCGGCTACCAAAATCCCTACTGTGCTTTCAAAAACAGAGAAAACTTTGTTTTGTCTGCTTAGAAATTTGATGTACAGTAATGTTGTTACACTATCACTGGACACCTGAAAACTACATGCCGCAATTCTTAACGCATGGTCTTGAAACTTTGCATACTTATTTCTATACCCTAATAATTTTTCCTATTGTCTTTGGTACGTGCCCAACCTTCAGGGTCAGAGCCACTCCCATTTTGTCTTTGGGTGTATGTGTGTTTTGCCTACAGACCGCAATTCTTAATGGATTGTTTTGAAAACTTTTCATATATATATTCCTTATATTCCTTATATTGCAGTCATTTCATAATCTTGACTTCTCGCCGCGGGAGAGCGAGAAGTCGAGGGTGAGAACACGAGGGAGCGAGAAGTCGAGTGCGAAAACGCGAGGAAACAGGGCGAGAATGCGAGGATCTCGCCCCCCCCCCCCCCCCGAGAAAACAGGATTATTTTCACCTTGACTTCTCGATCCCTCGTCCCTCGAGTTCTCGCTCCCTCGCGTTCTCGCCTTTGGAAATCCCTGTGTTCTCGCACTCTCGCTTCGTCACAATCTCGACTTCTCGCGCCCTCGTCTTCTCACCCGGGAAGTGCAATGTATACGCATATCCACCGACTACCGTATCGGCATTTATATCTGGACATGGATTCAAATAGACAGAAACGTTTGGGCTTCTAGAAAGTTTAATAGTCCTAACCAATTTTAATCACTTCTTGCACAGATAGTATTGTATTCTATACTCAATTTTAAGTCTTCAGTCGAATCTTTCTTTGCTCTCTAACTTGATCTACGTTCATCGGGGTTTTTTTCTATGCGTGGTTACCCCTTGTCAGTGGTGTAGGATGGAGAGCCTGGCAAGGTACAACGTATAGTCATTCGAATGGGATAAAAAAAAACGATGTCCTATGTCCGGAATCGAAATGAAGCGAGAGTTACGGTGGCTCAGTGAGTATGACGTTTACTCTCTAAATTCATCAAAGTTCATCGGATTTTTCTGGAGATGTCCACCCTTGTCAGTTGTGAGGCCGCTTGAACGTGACAAGGATTGGGGTCGTCTTTCCAACCGTGTGGGGTT